TACTAGTACTGTTATATTCAACAATGTCTGACTAATTAAGGTACTGGTATACCACAATATGTTAAAATCATCTACAGTATATACATGTAGTCAACTATGTCTATTACAGATAAAAGTGCCTCAAATACATGTAGTACATGTATCTAATTGTAATCATCTTTAAAAAAAACTTACCAACTTGAAAGTGGAACTCGCTGGCAGTATAAAATTTGGTCCCTTGGATAAACAATATCAAGTATGCTATATTTTAACGATTGCCCTTGCAAATCACTGTACAAAGAATGAGGGATGCTTAGTACTTTGTACACATGACCCAATCACCCCAACATCGGACCCTAGGAATAGTGTACTTGATCACTAGTGCCTTAGGGTTTCTTTCATCAACTCAGATGAGGATGGCTCTGGGCTTCAGGCAGTTTGGACATAAATATCTACCATGTATTGTCCTAACTTCTAACTACATGTACAAGCTGCCACACCTACCCAATCCTCATTCCAAATTGGATCACCAAAGAAAAGAAATGCACTGGGATACATCTAACCCTGAATGGGTGGAAAGTAACACAGGCTAGGGAGATGCCTTTTTGACACATTTTCCATGACATTGTGTAGCCCTTATTCATCTTGCTTTAACCCCTATGTTTTGGTTAGTAATTCTTGAATACAGCTTCTGTCAGCTTGGTTTTCCCTCCTTGTGACAGCAGGATGTCGTGTGTTTGGTGAAAGTCTATCAGGTCTGGAATACTGAAGAACGTCTGGGGATACAGAATCACAGGGTTTGTGGAAGTCACATTTTCAAAGTCAGTTTTACTTCCGAAATCCATGTTTTAGATGTGAATCTGCTTGATTCTACATTTTTCCTCTTCCCTTTAGTTGTTTCAAATATGGTCCATACTCAACGGAAAATACACAGTGAGCAAACAAAGGGGTTATTTTGACATTACCAATGATATCAAGGTCAAAGAGTATTAAGAGAAAGCAGACATGGACACTACTCACATCTTCATCCTCCTTCTCAGTGCCCAGGGCGTACTGCTGGTCCGGCCGGTAACGGATCTGAACTTTCTTAATGGCTTTCTGGTAAATAAGAGCCAAAGTGTAGGGTCTAGTGGGGTCCTTTGTGCTCTTTCTGATCAGGAATGCACCATCCTATGAAGACATAAATGGTTATGTTACTTGCACATTGAATATGTATACCTTTAAGGACAATAATCTCATACCTGTGAGATTATCAAATACCAGTCATGTAAATCTACAATGCTTGTTGAAATTATTTTTCACATTATCTCCCGAATGTCTTGTATCATATGTTTGCTGTTCTTTTGATTCCTGGCCTGTCATTTAAGCCATTTAACACATTCAATTTAAAAAAAAATTTTAAAACATTCTAGATTGAAGCTCCTTGTTTCTACACACACTTTGCATCCTCAGAGCACACTTAACGGTGCACACCCCAGTTCTTCCGCGACCGGGGTCCACGATAGTCCGTTGAAAAAAAGTGACGAAGGGGTTTTGAGGGCCCAAGTTTGATGTGACATTTCTCATAAACTGGCACGAAGTATCATTAAACATTAACATGGCTGAAGAGTGTAAGAAATGGTGATTTTGGGGTGAAAAATTCTTTTGGCTCCGAACCTTACTTCCGGGTATCCTTGCGCGCCAAGTGTAATCCGCCCGTTTGACCTAGATTTCGCTCTGCGCCTTCCTAGTAGCGGATTTGCAACCCCTCGCGCCGTGGACGATTAAAAAAATTACAGTACTAGAATTTTCTTTATAATTTACTCGGGTATAGTCAAGGCTTGGGTCTTTCTGCCAGCATCAGTCATTTTTGCCGGAAAATTTTTTTTCTATGGGATTATACTACGCGAAAATTCGCAATTTTGGGCATTAATTTTGGAGTGAAAAAAATGTTTTTTCCGTTGATTTTACCAAAATTAAAAAGGTTGAAGAAACCAAACTCAGCTGGTCTTGTAGCTGAAGAGATATCCTTTCGTCCCATATACAGTTATTCTCCTTCCGAATTATTCCACGCCAGAAACGGTCGCTAGATTTGAGGGTGTGCAGCTTCGAATAGAGACGCCAAATAAACTGGGGTGTGCCCCCTTAAATTTCACCCCAGATTGGAGACATGTTTGACTAACCTTCCCATGTTCCCTCAGTGCAGCACTAGCCTGCCTCTGCTCCACCTCCCCGTGGTACCATGGGTACTCGTACAGCCCCCCCTGGAGAGGCTCAGGGTCCGGCTCGGGGAGGGGGACACTGGGGACTGGCTTCTTGGCCTGGAGGGGCGGGGGTGGGGGGCCACGCGCTCCGCCCGGGGGTGTTGCAGGCAGCTGCCTACTTCTCATGTCTGTAAAATAAAGTTCTTAAAATGTTCACAATTTCTTACATGAATTTCCAAGATACATAATACATATTCAGTGTTAAGTGCCAAATTTTCTGCTGTCCCAGACATCATTACCTTGTTTGTAACCACAATTTTCTATACAGGGAACACAGGGAAACATTGCAAAAACTTTGCTTCATTAGTAATACTCTTGGTAAACCCCTTTGATGCTCACATTTGACGTATAAATGTAGTCATATTGAATGTAAAATACTATCAACAATACACAGGAATGTTTTCTATCTCCTAATTCATCTCCATCAGAAACATATAATTTATGGAATCATGTTGTAAGCTGTTCAAATTAATATGCAGAAAATATCAAAGGTATACCAACCTCTTGTCTTTGCCTTGATACTGGGGATAGATGTTGTAGGAGGGGGTGGGGGTGCCCCAGACTTGTTCCTGCCAGGGAGGGGGGGAACTCCCCCTGGGCCCCCCGGTCTCTGTCCCGGGAGGAGCTCATCGTGTATGGAGTCTCCGGAGGCAGAAGATGCAGAGGAATGTGATGCTCTCTTGTCTACAAATGAGTCTGCAGGGCATAAGATGAGTACGTAAGAGAATGAGTGTGTGTAAGAGAAGTACAATGCCATGTACAATGCCCTTTGTCAATTGAGACAGAAGGGTTTCCTTAAAATGACATACAAGATGTCAGTCCAGAACTGACTTTGTATCCACACTTTCTTATTATCATTTAATGAGGCATAGTGTACATGTGTAGTTAAGATTTTAACATCATTAGGACTGAAAATAGTTTTTCTGTTCTCAAAGATTTCATTCCTTACCTGAAGATGCAGCTGAGCTGGAGGAGGTTGTAGATGCAACAGACAATGTGGATGTCCGGGGTGATCGGTCTGAAAAAGGCAAACCCATCAAATGTATAGGGAAAAATAGACTTGTGAAACCACAATTTTGGCACTTTTGTCGACTGAATCTTTGAGATCTTTCTCAAACCGCTTGTATCCTTTGAAAAAAAAACTTGTTTATGTTTCACCACTGTGTTTTTTCTTGTGGTAATAGTGCCATGAGATAATCTGCTACAGTAACTGCTAACCTTACTGGAAAAAAGTGAACCAGTCTATGGGGTCTTGAGATATACCCTTATATAGCTCAGGACTTAAGGACAGTAGCTAATAGGCACTTACGAGGACTTTTGGTGCCTCCAAGTGGGGGTGACGCAGCTGGACTCAGGTGCAAGTTCTGCTTCTCAAACATGCTGGCCAGCCCGGAAACTTTGCTGTTTGCCAGTCCTGGAGATCTTGGTGGGGTAGCTTCTTGCTTTGGCTCAAACTTTGATGCTATGCTGCTCACTCCTGCTGGCTTGGCTGGAGAAGGCACGGCAGGCGGAGTTTGCTTCCATTTTGGTACTGAAGGCTGCGGTGGGGACGACGTTTGAACCGGCTTGTGCACGTTCTTCAATTGTGACGGTCGGACATTTGATGACGCATCAGCTGGCGGCCATTTTGCTCCAGACTTTTGCCCAGAAGCAAGAGGAGATGTTACATGTGGCTGCTTCTTGGGAAAGTTTGGGGGTCCACCAGTGAAGGGAGATTCCGGTTTTGTGCTGGGACTGGGGAGAGGCGGCGGTCTGGCTGATTTGGCACTAGTTGGGAATTTCGGAGGCTGTCTTGTGTCAGGTTGTGTTGGGTTTGGAAGGACTTTGTTCATAGCAGTCATGTGGGAAGTAGGGCCAGGCTTGGTTGGCTTTGGAGGGAGAGCTGGTGGAGGTCCCTCGTCTGGTGGAGTCAGCAGAGGCTTCCTACCTGGGATAGGGGGGCCTGTACTCGGGGGTAGACGACCGGGTGGGAAGGATTCTGCAACATGAAACAAAAGAAAATCACTCCATGAAGTCTTCCAGACATCAACTCACTCAATAAGAAAATTTAGTTTATTCAACCTTCTCCTTGTGCATTGGTTAATAATCTTAGAGGTGGAATACACAGACTTCTTTTGTTTATTCTTCAAGATCAGAATTAGTCAACTTTCTTTTGCAAGATTTATCTGTCAGTAAAACAGAAATGCAAGAGGGGTAAACTTACCACTGTCTGGCACTTCATACTCCTCTTCAGGTCCCTGGAAAAAAAGAGGTTGCAACTTTTAATGCAATAATTACACATGTATGTCCCACCAATATTGGCCACCAACATAACACAAGAAAAACATTGTGATGCCATGTGGACATGTGGATAATGATATCACTCAGGGAGTGGTAAACCTACGTTCATGTACTGGTATCCTTAACTCCACCATGTTTTCTAAAGTTCAGAAGAATTTCTAAGAGGAAGAAGAAATATCTACCCCTTGCCCTTGTACTGGCATTTCATAGTCTTCCTCGGGTCCTGCATTCTCAGCAAATTCTTCATACGTGTCTTCAGGATGGCTGGCCTGATGCAAAAGAAGGTGATGAAGGCTTCCATAAACATATTACTAAGTAATTCAATCCTGTATACCAGCACATGTAGTAAACATATCAATTAAAATTGTAACATAAAGTTGCACAGCATGCAGATTAAGATTTGCTTTATAATTGATCAAAGTAAATTCCATAATATAGGCTACGTTGAAAGGTAGTCTGGTGTGTGGTATGAGTACTAACCTGTGCAGGCCTCTGTTGCTGTCCAGGAACAGGTGGCATTCTAAGAAAAACACAACAGAAAAAACGATGCATTATTAGGGCATGTCAGGATACCCCAGCATTTTGGGTTAGTACATGTATCATGAATCAAGTGATCTTTCTCGTTACCTCTTCAAAATATGATTTAATATGCTTTGAAGCTAAGTCATGATAAAGTTACATGTAGGTGTAACTTTCAAAATTACAAAATATATATTCCATCTCTCACATTCAGCAATGAAAGTGACATACCTTCTGCCCACATTTACATTGAAGTTATTGGCCTAGGTGGGAAGGAGAAAAGACAGAATAATTATCAAAATTAAACAAATCATATCCGTAAAACATTAACAACTTACATGTATATATCAACACATAATCATGGTGAGATAATTCTAGGTTAAATCTACAAGATGTCAAAACATGTCTCACTGCTTAGTACTAAGAACTTGTGTGTACTAAGATCTTCTCGTCAACTCTAAATGTTGAGGGAGTCTTACTCCAACAGGTGGTCTGGTCTGCTGAGCAGGAGTCTTCACTTGGTGAGGTCTACGGGGTACAGGTGCTGTCAGAAAGACACAGAACAACAATTATTATACAAATGCTATAAAATTACTTTTAACAAGATAGTTGTTACAACTGTGAAAAGTAAATATGGCTATTGGTAATTCTAACGGAGGAGTAATTCTAAAGTAATTTTTCCCCTTACGTTGTTGCTCTTCTACTGGTTGTTCATAGTCAGACCCTCCAGACTCATCTGTGAAAACAAAAAGCATCGGAAGCTGTAGTTTTACATGTTTGTATGTCATGTGTTCTCAGACTACTGTTTCTTTGTAGCTCTTTCTATTGCAGGTTGAGTTGAATATTTATCTAAAAAAGGCGATCTAAGTTCTAAGAAGTATTCAATGTAAATTGCAAACTACAAATGTATAAAAATGTATAAATTGCAAACTATAAATGCATAAAAATGACAGGTGAATGACTCACCATCGTGATCTGGAATTTCGTATGTGTCTTGTTCCGTAGCATCCTCAGTGGGAAGTGGCATGGGTTGCTGTGTATGGCAGCAAAGAAAAGATGTTAAATGTTGCATAACAAATAGTAAAAAACAGAAAAGTGACCATATGTCACAAAAAATTGACAATTCTGGAAGTTACTAAATACTAATATCTAACCTAACCTAAGTACAATACAGATCTGAATACATCTTTAGACGTGACTCTCAGAATGCAAGAAATAATTAATACATTTAATACTGCTTTGAAATCAGAAAACAATATTGAAACTGATAATTACCCCTAACATGTTACAAAATGTTTTACAAAGTGTTTCAGATTTACATAATAAACGCTAGTAAAATTTGAAGATTCATTTTGTATTTTGTCTTTCGATATAAGAAAAACAGCGCCTACCCTGCGATGAGGTGGCTGGGTGTGCTTAGGGCTCACATCATCTGGTGGGGGTTCATAGTCATTAGCACCATCCTCCTCATCTTCATACTCCTGGGTACCGGAGTCAACCGGCATGAACCTGTCTGGTCTGTCCCAACTGGTCTCTGACAGGTTTCGAATAGATTAGGAAACAATGATCACTTTATTAGTGGTGCTAATGTGTACCAAAGTGGAGGCAATTTAGTGTGCCAAATACAATATCTTATCTACAGCATGCTGTCAGCATGCTATATCTTCAATACGAAATGTATATCATATTTCACAACAGTTCTCTCAGAATTTGATAAAACTTTTTGGTTGCACAAAAAGAGTCCAAGCAGCTAAACAGAAGCACCAGAAATCTTTGCCAGACAGAATTAGATACAGAGTACTGTATCCCATTGTGAAACAAGCTGTCCAAGAGTCTTACCATTTGTTACAATGTTCCAGTAGTAAGGGAAGCCGTTGTCATCTAAACACTCCTGCCATTCAATTGATTCCTGTCTCATTGTTGTCAACTGTGGAATACAGGTACATGGAAGCTACCATTAGAAAAGATATTCATGTTTAATTTGTAAAAAAAACAAAAATGGTAAAGTCTAATGTTTGATAATCTGTGATACTGATACCTACAGTGTCGTCAAACTCATCTGACCCCCACCCATCATCATCGTCAGGGCTCACTGAAAATATACATGAAGAAAATTAAATGAATAAAAAAAAAGGAACACGGTCATCAAAGTGAGCTAACTTGCTTCTAACTTAGCTGGAGAGTGCATTCAGATAATTCTTCTTCCCCAACTGCAATCACTGAAAAATCTAGTTGCAATTGATAGTTTTAATTCGTTGGCTTGAAAAAGCAATATCACACAGCAAGTACAAACAGGGAGTGTGCAGAAAAATTAGTACTCACTTGGGTCTTGGTGATAGTCCTTGCTGGGTAACGTTGGTTTATTCTTTGAAAATAGGCTATAATGGAGAAATACAAACAAGATTATACTACATGTACATATATAATAGCACTACTATTGCTAAGATTGTTGGATTCATTCATGGCTATACAATGTTAAAAACAGAAAACAGTACAGATATTTCAACAAAAAATTCTCTATATTTATGTCATCACAAAAAGATTTACGTCAACACAAACAAAACAAACTTCTCAATTTCCCCTACCTGAATTTGGATTTCTTTTCTTGTTTCCTTGACTTCAAGATTTCTATCTGCTTTGCAACTTCTCTGAAAATCAAAGAATTATACAACGTGATGCTAAAAGAAAGCTCCGGATTCAGATGAAAATGAAAGTGGCAAATTTACATCATATCTAGAGAGGCATGCCTAATGTCAAATGCACACACCATGAATTCTATACAAAAGCTGGTGGCAGGATATTAAATCCCCCTACATGTATACCTACTTTCTCATCTTAATGGGAAGGTCCTGCCATCTGAACAGTGCAGATTCATCCAGTGTCTGGAGGATGGAAGAAGTCATAAAACGTTATTATATACAAACATATATTTTGTTGGGTCAGAAGGGGCAGAACAGGAAATAGGGTCCCAAAGGACCGTGGAGGAAAGAATGTGAAATGTAGCAAAAAGACTTAAGCCAGCAGCTTTGGTGTCACGTGTCATCAGGAAATTAAAAGTAAAATTTACTAGTTGAGCCTTACCAGCAGTTCTGCCCCAGTGACATTTCTGTCTTGGAAAAATCGGACACAATCACCAAACCCAACCTGAAAAAAAGGATAATTCCTGTTAGCACCAGTAAACACAAAATTTTTATCTACAAATTTTATAATGTTACATCTCAACTTTGCAAGTAATGTAAGGCATTTTTTCAATCCTTTTGTGGACATGATGTCATCAGCAAACTCAATCATCAGCAATTTACACATCTGTCTACTATGCAATCATGAACACTAACATATTTACTTCATTTGCTAAAATTGTCTATCACATTGGTGTGTGAAAAAAAGTAACATTTATAGTTCTATACATGAAACCCTTGTAGGAATGCGGAGGACTTTTGACATGGGCCCTTCCCACTAGTTATTCACCTTTAGATTAATCGCTCCAATGGGCCTTATCTTTTAAAGATACCAAATGTTTACACTTAAGTTAGTCACTCAAGGAAGTATCTGAATAATTCTATTTCGTGATAGCGTGACATCTTCGGAAAAACGTCACTGACTATGTGTACGTAATCAGGAAATAAAGATTAACTTGAATTCCAAATTGAAAGAGAGCTGAAGACCTTACGTTTTGATTTGGTTGCGAGTTGACAAATAATCATAAGAAATTATGACAGGTTCAAGCATATGCATGTGAAACGTAACCTGGGGTCTTAATTAAGAAGCATGAAATGACCACCAGTAGCGTTTAATTGCGTTTGGAAAGGTATATAAACGCTTCTTCTCAGTACGATCGAACAGAACCAACAATATTTTGTTCATTTTTACTACGACCGGATCGACCAGCCCCCCTAAAATTACCTCCAGTTTAACAGGTAGTTAAGTTTATCAGTTTATCAAGTAAAACTTTCTAACCTGTGTCAGCCATTCTGCCACTTCACTGGGCCCCCATCGCTGCACCTCGTCTGCTGAAGGGTTTTTAGATATCATAGCAGTCTTCGGGTGTTATGATGATATCAATAGGTAACGAATTAAACTACAAACGTGCCATACTTGGAGACAAAACTTTTACTGCCACACTTCCTGCAAGTTTTTCACACTTCCTGGTTTGACGCTCCCGACAGCCTTAGCGAAAGGATTGTGCCAATTTAGATACACAGGGGCGATACGTTTTTTATTTTTTCTAGTTGTGCGATTTCAGAGAATTTTTAGTTCACCGAATATGAAAAATACAATGTTAGTACAACGTGTTATGTTTTGAAAATGGCTTTTTCTTGCATTTTTCATATCAAAACAAGACGAACACATACTAGCCGCAAGCATATGTAATATTCATTTTAGCCGCCAGGGGTCACTATTGCACGATCAGTTGCTGCACTGCCCACCTTTCCGTCAGGTGGCGCTTCTGAGCGTGGTTCCAACCCGTCTGCAGGGGAGTCGCCAAAAATATGGCTTTCCGTGACCGTGAACAGGAACGACAACGGCAAATTTCACTCGGAAGGCAACTTGTGGAGGCTTCAAAGAAGGGCGAAAGTTCAGTCATCAGAAATCTACTGAAAGTGGGCGCGTCCGTGGATGCAGAAGAATTCAACAGGTCGCATTTGCGTTTTATTTGTCAAAACATCTTTGAATGGTTTAGGGGGAGGGGGGCGACAGACTGAAACCCGAACGAAAGTCTCCTGTGGGGGCGTGACTCCTTTTCAATCGTTCAGCTGCAGGTCTGATGAGATTTGAGCCGTCTGGCAACGCTTGTTTTGAGTAGAATCGCTGAGAGATGCGTTGCTTGGGGTATAATTTAGCGCGTATGCAATTTGAGGTCACATTTCTGATGGAAAATTCCATTTGCCCCTGACACGTCTGTCTGCATCAGACGTCTTCAAGTTCAACGCCACAGGCGAACATCCAGAGCAGAACTTTACTTTCTGTGACGTTCTAATGTAATGTGTATACTTGGTAGTTGGCTTTGATAAAACTATCGTTTGAGCAAGGACATTATGTGTATAATGTCCTTGGTTTGAGATACTGTTCAAAGCCAGTGATGAAAATATTATGTGCGAATGCTGACAAAATGTTGCCTCGATTTTATGTTGCCTTTGGAAACTACTGACATATACTGCATCTCTCCAAAATTCTATAAAACAGTCTTCACATCATTGCCTTGTACGAAAATAGTTTCAACTTCCTTGCTTGCACCAAGGAGATTTAACACTCCGTATTTACTTGCCCATTGATAGTCATAAGGTATTGTTGTGATAACCTTTGTTATCATATTTGTACATCCTGAATTTGAATTGCTTCTTGTGAATAGAGGGGGCATAGTGTTAATTTATGTTCATTTGCATACTGCATTTCTGAATGTCCATTTGACCATATAGTACTTAGTACATGTATTTGATAATCAGAGATGACACCACTGAAACAGTGAAAGTGAAACTCTCTATACATTTAGTACAGAGTATGAACTTATTTTCCCAGCCATAATAACATCATCCCCAGAGCAGATAGTGATACGTGTACAACATGTACTTTGGTAGCAAATGCATGCTCAGTCAGTCTGTGCATAATTTGACTGTATGCATTGACAGTATCTACAGAATGATGGCATATATTATACAGTCAATTGTATGTAAAATCAAGGACATTATATAGAATGTAATGTCCTTGGTGGAATGTATGACCTGACAGCATTGTCTTTTGTCCTGTTGTACAGAACTCTGTTCTACGCGTCTCAGAACTACCTGACGCCCCTGCAGGAGGCCGCAAAGTATGGACATGCAGACTGTGTCAGGGTACTCATACAACATGCAGGTAGGTGAACCACAGGTTTCTGTCATCATATTTAAATCCAAGGTCACATTAAGAAGCTCTCTGTAACTGTTAGTGAAAATATGGAACTGTTGTTAGTGTTGTTGTGTACGACTGTGAGGGAGTCATTCGGGCAGCTTCAGGCCAGCAAGGCCCTTTCCTGAATAATCTGTAACAACTATGTCCTTTCAGCTGATGTGAACACCTGCGACCGGTTTGACGTGACAGCTGTGCACCTGGCAGGTGAGGGCGGACATGTGCAGTGTCTACACGCCCTGCTGGAGGCAGGGGCTGATCCTAACAAGGGAACCAAGTACTCCAAACCTGGGGCTTACACAGGTGAGACACTTACAAACTCCATGCATGGAGAACTGGGTGAAGCAAATATTTTCTTCTTTTATGAGAACTGAGGGCTTCCTTGGTACAGTTTTTATGCTGGTAATTTCTGATCATGAATACAGCAAAAGATATGGCTATGAGTATGAGTATGAACATGCAGCATAGGGGCCGACCATGTACACAATATGAGTATGACCAGGAAAGTAGCATGACATATGGCTGTGAAATTCATATTTTTAACGAGTTTTGGGAAAATCTAGGGTTACGTTTGGGAACACCCATGCAGACTAAAGTGATATATTTACCTGTGTTAACAGCATACCCACACCCCGGCGGCACCACGCCTCTGCATCTGGCAGCCACAAATGACCACGTGGACTGTATCCGCGAGCTGATCATCAACGGAGCCGACTACAACTCACAGGACGAGCTGGGCAGGACCAGTCTGTACATCTCCAGCTACAGGCAGAGTGAGAAGGGAGTACTCACACACCTACAGAACGCCATGGGGAGAGACATCCTGTCACTACCTGTGTACCAGACAGGTAAGATAAGCATTATGCTTTACATACTGTACTAAACGAATGCATGAAATGACAAGACATTGCTGAGTATTGCTAAGGTTTACAGTTATTGTTTGTAACAACAATGTATGCAAAACATTTCATGTAATGCATAACTTACAAATTTGCAAGAGTTAATGTTTTTGGCAATGCCTCAGGGGCAGAGTCATTTTCCCTTCTTTTCACCAAATGCTGCAAATCAAAAGGAACCAAAACGTTTTTGATTTCAGAGGAGACACCTCTTCACGAGAGCGTGAGACACGGGATGTCAGACGCGGTGCGCGCCCTGCTGAGGCACGGCTCGGACGCCAACGCGATGAACTCCTCTGGCCACTCGCCCTTCCACTGTGCAGTGTTCCACACAGACAAGTTCTCCATGGCCATGGTCAAGGACATGCTGACGCTGGGGTACAGCACAGACGTCAACCTGCCTACAACTGCAGGTACTGCAATACACTCGCCTAGTCTTTTGTGTTTTGATGTATTCTGTGGGCTTATTCTCTAACTTCTAAGCACGTTTGGCCTGTGCTGGACTTTTTTTTATCTCTTTTAGGCATTTTGTCCAGCTTTTTATTTTGTCTTAAAGAAAAAAAAGAAAAGCTGATGAAATAGAAAGCCTGACACAAAGTGCTAAAAAAAAGCTGAAAAAAAGACCCAAACAGGCCTAACTTCTGCTTTGAGAGTAGTGTTGACATGTGTCGTAATACCATGCTGCATTACTCACTCTTCCATGTAGTATTAGACAGTTAATGAATATCGCAACATGCTCTCTAATACTCTCACCCTGTCCACAGGTGCGTACCCTTTGTTCTTTGCCTGTTTCACGGACGGTTTCCGTGGCCAGCGCCGCCCGGAGCTGGGAGAGCTGCTGATCGCGTACGGAGCCAAGCCCGAGCTGCTGCACAAAAAGAGCGGTCCTCTTATCACATCAGAACTGAAGAGTCGAGACACTGACATGACCATACTACAGGTATGTGTGGATAAAGTCAATAAGAAAAGCATTGTTAGCCAGTGAAAAAAACAAGTATTAAAATCACTAGAATCAAATTGTGCCATAGACATCATCTTTGCTGACGATGGACATCCAAGCGAATCAAAATTGGCATATATGATTGTGTTGTCCGTCTATTTTTTAATGGCCAATCAAGATTACAATTTGAATGATTGAAAGCACAAGCTGCATAGCCTTACACTACAGCACCAAGCTTGTAGAATTCCTGTCACTGTTCAAGCCCCTAGACTAGAGGTTGTTTGTGTAACACAGGCTCCAGCTACACACTCCCTTTCTTGTCATATAATGAATCTTCCCTAACCTTCTCACTGTTTCCCTCCCAGTCCGTAGCTGACACCAAGCCAATGATCTCCCGGAAATACCTGGCGCCCGACTTCTTCGCCCCGCCCATCCCGGCGCAGAAGAGGGCGTGGCTGGAGGACATGACGCGGTCTCCTCGCAACCTGCAGCATCTCGCCCGCTGCGTGATCCGCTCGGCGCTCGGGCAGTTCGGCCTGCGGAGAGTCTCAGAACTCCCCATCCCTTCTACACTGAAGGACTATCTGTTACTGCAGACGTAACAGTTTGAGATGCTGGAGGTCGAGAAGTATGAAGGAACTGTTGCACACATTAGTTTCTCTTTCCCGGTGTCTAACTCAAAGCTAGGTTATTCAAATTTTGCAATAAAAATGAAACGCCTGTCTACCCCCTTCTTGCGCTCACAAATTTATCAGTGACCCTGTTATCAACTGTTAGAAAAGGGTGATCTATTCAATAATCAGCAAAAAGAGGTACAGTATTATGGCTGTGTGTAAAAATATGTGGAAATTCGTGAACAAAAGTGTTCAAGATAGGCTAATACTTGGGTAAAAGAGGTGAGCTGTAGATCTCTTGGTCTAGTGCTATTCTTGTGGTATGTTCTCTCCAAGTTTCAAGTTCTTGTCCCTTTCTTTGGATGTATGTACAGACCTAAAGCAGCTTCAACAAGAATGTATAATGATATAGATACTACATAGTCTACATTTAAATTAAATAATTATCAGCTTTCTTTACAAAACATTTTGGACAGTTTGTTTTCTTTCTACATGTACTTCCTGCAAATTCACCTTTGTGATGCAATATATGAATTTAGTTCACTTGTTAAAAGTATTAAACATGACATTTACTGTATGTTATACCCCATTCTCAGCAGGGTGTTGCTGTATATTGTATATTTGTACAAAACTTTGCTGTAATATCGCTTCTGCTGTTCATTTATGACGATAGATAGTATTGTGATAGGACCTGAATAAGGCATACTATACTCTTGTATAAAATACTACAGTAATTGATTGATATGCTACACCAATTTGTTCTCTTGGTCATCTCTCTAAATTACACACCAAAAAATGGACATCATTTTAGGAGATGGTCATTCTGTTAGAAAAGGGTGTGATTTCTTGTCACACCAGACCTTTATTGGGTTGATCAATATTTATATTTGTTACAAACATATGAGAACCAAGAAGTAAGTTGGTGATGCCAATTTGGACATTAGCCTTATCTACTGTGTTAGTAATGGGAGAGATTCTGCTTTGAACCACGATACAGTATAAAACAGGTCTAATTGGTGGTTTGGGGAGAAGTTAATGTACTGTACACAGGAAACCTTTTTTGGCATCATGCATCACGAGGTACGTCTAAAATCAGATTTTGTTAATCAATGATGTGGAGAGTCCCCATGAGCCAAAGGAAGCCAACACACCTCCAGAGATAATTCTTGTCACATTGTATGGACTTTTTCTTCCATTGTCAAGAAGATGAGAATGAAAAGTTTCATTGAAGGACTACTTGATTAAACTTGCCTCTTAGATTTAACATTTAGACCTACGCCTACAGGCATAGCTAGATGTTATTCCTTTCTCATTCTACCTCCAATACCTGCAGCTCTGGTCCTCATGATTCCTACTACTGTCCATTTAATGCACTAGTATCAGATGGTCTGTTAAAAGATAGATAAGAAATGGACACATCTTACAACAGCACAGTATGAAGTTTATTTGCTGTTAACTAGTATGGCCAGTAACCAAGATGTCACTTACATGTAGCTAATGTACAGTTTGTTACTGTTGCTATTTTCTCCAATACCATTTCTACATCATAGCTGTGATGAAAGCTCCATAGCTCTGATAACTGTTCTATAAAAGTATGTGTACTGGCATCTGTCAACACCAAGTCCTTGCACAGTTTCAAATCCCTCGTCATGTTTGAAAAAATTGAATCAATGTGATGATACCGTACCATTTTATTCTAGAACTTTACTAGTAACATGTACTGGTGACCTCATATTTCTACATCTCTTGTACTACAGGACATATTGTACAAATGTATCAACTGCAGTTGTTACGTCTTTAAGGATGTGACCAGTGAAAAGTGGCTGGAGCAAATCTTGTATGTGCAAATACATTCCAGTAGTATTGAGTTTTGTAGTGTGTAGCTCTGTACAAATATAAGGTTTAGGTTATGTCCTGCGTGTGGGTGTTTTTTGTGTGTCAGCTATTTGTTAGTCATGTATAAATGTATGTGGTAGAATCAATTTTTGATGTACATGTAGACACAAATACGTTTGTAGTAACATTTTGGAAGTCAAGGCATACTGAAGAGAGATATGGTAGCCCTTACAAGAATTTTTTTTCAATGATTTTATTTTAGACTCGCATGTGTTGATATGCCCTAACTCAACATCATTTTGAAGGAGCAATTCCTGGGAAGCAGTACACAGCTACAAAGGCTGATCACTCAGTTGTTAGGTATATCTTACTAGCAGCCAGACCAGCAGAGTCCAGTGGATAAATCCTTGACATCAAAAACATTCCTCTTCCAATATATCAGGGTGCTCTTCCCAGAACACGTCCCCTATAATGTCTGTATGGAGAGGCACAACTTTCTTCCTCAGTTTGGTGACTTCCCTCGGACGTTCTACCGGGTCCTCGGCAGTCCGACATGTCCTTGTCACGGTCTCCTCTACCTGAGGGGCGGAACACAAAGGTATCATACCTGTGTTAAGGTATCATACATGTGTTCCAGCCCATGGAAGCTGTAGCTAATTAATCATACCAGGAATATGTAACAATTCTTCATTCCATGCCCAAGATGCATGTGCCTACGTCTAAAAATATTTCTAAAAAAAAGATAACCCTTAAAGGTGCCACAAGTTCCACCCACTCACCTTCTTCCACACTAGTACAGTGCCTTTCTTGTACATCTCTGGCTCATTGTTGTAATTGATGCCAAACTCAGAGAACAAGATCTCATTCTTGTCAGCAGAAAATGTGTGCTGCAAGAAGACAGCATACATGTACACATTAATTCTTGACATGTGTTCCTGCATGTGTCCTATACTCAATACATCAATTTGGCAGATGAAAGAAAGCATCTAACTAGAGGTAAGTGAACTATGTCAAATTTGGTACTGTTGTATATTATTTCATATTTCATTGTATATTATGTTGTCCTGTGTATACTTCAACACATACCAAGGACATACCAAGACCCACAACAGGCTAGGAGAACTTTTGACTTCATCAGTTAGTTACCCGTATTCTCTCCTCTGCCTGGGTATTTGTCATCCCTCCTTGCTGTACTAGTGCCCAGAAACAGGTGTTGTACAGGTTGTTAATATGGCCTGAAAGAAAGACAAAAATCAAACAGGTGTACTACTGTGTAGCATTATCTTGCAAACTGTCATGTATCTTACACCCACTCTACAGTGTAATACACTCTACAGTATTGTTAGGTAGATGTTTTATCAAAGCCACGAGATGGTGCTCACAGTCTGCCTGCCTCCAGCTGAGATAGTCCCTGAGGTTCTTGTTGCTAGGATACAGGATGACACGCCCATCAAAGCCAGGTGGGTACTGCAGGGGCTGATCAGGGAAGTGTTGGGCCCAGTGGAACACGTATGAAGATGAAAACTGAGACACGATGTGAGTCATCAACTTACTGCAGAGGAATAGATACCAATATAAAATAGATACAGTCAGTCAACATCAATATAGATAGTCAACATCTTTCATGGCAAGCTGTTAATGTACTGATATGACTGTTAAGACAGAATACACATTTACTCACCTTGCTCTTCTACTGTATAGCATTGTGGATTTCTTCAGTACGAAACTGAACTCGTCACTCTGCCCATAAGAAATGACAATGTCCCTGAAGTCATTCATGACAGTCTCAGCAGCTCTGGTCATCAGGTGTAGAGCTCGCTCATCATTCGGCTTGGTAAAGCCATGATCTGTGGAAAATCTGTGGAAACACAAACCAAACCATAAACTCAGTAGCAATTGTGAACAGTAGCAAAGCCATGCTGCACTATCAGCTATTGAAAAAAACTTCACCTCAAACATCACACTTTGAGTTGAACAGAAAGGATGGGGCCTGGAGATACACATAACATCCAAGAAGACCAGGTAATGTGAAAATGTTGGAGCAATTTTTTTGTAGCAACCGTTTAGTCAGTACACATTCCTCTTGTTTTGTCTTTTTGGTTACCTGTGACCATCTTCTTTTTCTGATCTTCCAGATACAACTACTAGTAATCCTGGTATTGTGTCTAAGGGTCTATAACTAGTATAAGGAATCGATGGAAGAATTTTTCTTGTTACTAGTAGTTGTTGCCAGTCTACTTACCTGTGAAAATTCCGACCATCCAATCGGATCACAATCCAGGTGTTAGGTAGACACGGATCTTGTGTCTCAAACTGACGAACGTACTCAAATTTGCTCTTTGCCATCGCTGATGTTGAGAAACTAAAAGGTTTCAATGCTCGGAGTCGGAGGCAACCTGTTTGCCTCTTAGTCTTACCCCTCTGTATTGCAGCTGGGTAGCTGCTGTTTTCGTTGGTCCTTTGTGTGAAGCTACAGATTGCGCGCGCTGGTAGACATGTACTTTTTGTTCTTAGATGCAGGAAGAGAGTAGTTGCAGGTATGTTTATGGATGTGTGTGAAGAAATGACTGCTGAAAGATTTTGTAGAATCCTCACGCTTTTCATGAAGACGACAAAGATTGGGCAAAGTTCGTTTTTAAATCTGTAACAAAACTGAGATCTGGTTGCAACTTGACTTTTTGATTCTCACAAATATCAAATCGATCCCAGATACTAAGAATAGTAAGATGTTAGCTGTAATCATAGGATGATAAAAGAGGAGGGGCGAAGAAGATAAAAGTGAAACCGTCCTCTATGTCCACCGCAAACTTAAAAACCTCACGTCAAAATTGGTCCCAATATACTACGATTTGTTCTCTTTGTCTGGGCTGCAGAGCCTGTGTAACATGGATCTCGCCTAATCGCGAAAAAAGGACTAAAACTGTGTCTGATTTGTGAGAAAACACCTAACCAAAACCTAAAAACACATGGGCGCAGCCATTTTGTCCAAAGAATGATGGGAACAGCAAAAGCAACCAATCACAACTGCACTAACAGAGCCACGCTAAATATTTTCCAGACATTATTTGTGACAGCAGCTCTCATTGGTTGCTTGAATAATTGACCGGGGATCAAAGGTAAACAGGTCATGTGTGAAATGTTTATGTTTGTCAGGAAGAGTTACTGCGTAAGATTTGTTGATTTGGTGACATTTTCCAGCCGATTAAGTTGGTGTTGTCGAAAGCTACTGACTCCATTTCTTCCAGCATGCTAGCAAGTCCCCCGACATAGTTTCAATGGTTTAGCAAACACTGTGATCGAGCAAAAATAGTTCTGCAAAAAATTTGCCAAGACTCTGAGGACAAAGTCAATGTAGTTGGGTGTGATCGCTGGAATCCACCTTTGATCGTGACTGTACCGCTGACTGTGGCCGAACATGGCGGGCAGCAGGGTGGACTGTAAGGTTGTGCTGCTCGGTAAGGCTTACGGAGGCAAAACCTCACTCGTAGAGCGGTACCTGCACGACAGATTCAACGCGGAAATGCCTTACCAAAACGTGAGTTATTATACACTACTTAAAACATATGTTAGCAGGCCCATATATGTATATTCATCGTTATACACATCCTAAAGCTATTTGTTGACTTTTCTCGTTAAGGAGCTGTTTTCAGTTTCGATTTCACTTAACTAATTACTACTAGTATTTTATGACATAACCAATTACCTTTACATGTGAACAACATATTCCTACATTGAATTACCTTTACAACGGCCCTTAATGACACCCATGTAAAAATACAGCCACCCCAGGATGATATCATTCCAACAAATAAGTTGAAAACAACATCCCACATGGGTGATACAAAATACAATGAACGTTTAAACAAACATTGTGGGTGTGACAACAAAACAGGTGCACTATTGATATAACAGAAACATGTGCTTGTAGGTTCTGACCTGTGCCAACAGCTATTGTAGTAATGACACAACCTATTGGTTCTGTTATTGGTGCAGATGGGAGTGGTGGTGGTCTTCTTCTGTTATCTCATTAACAGGCGATCACCCAATTTATTCTGAACCTCTGATTTGATTACTATCATTAGTGCTGTACAGTTCAAGGCAGTTCAAGGTCTGAACTTGGTTCAGCATTCTTTTTTGCATTGAAATAACATTACCATATACACAGGTAAATGTACTATATGTCACTCGAGAAAAGACAAAACCTGCATTATGAAATGAGGATTTTGTTTTTATTTTCAAATGAATTCAAATGTCCTAGCTCCAATGCGATACACACAAATCACCGTTCCACATAATTTTTGCATGGTTCTTCTCACTGATCTACATTCTGAAGGTATCTAATATTTGTGACATTGCCACCCTAGACTATAGGTGCAGCTTTTGGAGCCAAGAGAGTAGAGGTTGATGGGAAGCTTGTGACACTTGGGATTTGGGTAAGTTTAATTTTAGACAAAAACCAAAGAATGAATCATTTAGCATGCAGGTGGAAAATAGCAATCCCAAAATGTCAGGATGTCTGAGTGTCTCCACCAAAACCTGTCTTTGGTTACTTTTTTCTCTCCTTCCTTCATCATGAATCTCATATTAACTGTTGTAAGTTATTACATTTGCCCTCTTCCCTATCCAGGACACAGCAGGTTCAGAGAGATATGAGGCCATGAGTAAAATTTACTACCGTGGTGCAAAGGCTGCTGTTGTCTGCTATGGTAAGTATCGGCTGACCTGTCACCAGAGAAAAGATTTCAGGGAGTTTCTGTAGATATTCTAATTGATATTCAGAAATATTATTTTCACTTCATAATTATAACAGTCAAGGCAGCCTTTAGCTTTTTTTATCCACCATATTATGCACTGCCCAGTAACCTAAATTTTACTTATCTTACAGATCTCACAGATGATGCCAGTTTTGAAAGAGCAAAGTTCTGGGTGAAAGAACTTAATGACAATGAAGAGGTAGGAGAAATATACAAATGTTAACAATGAGCTAATGCAATTAAGATAAAGACTAACATTTAAGGTTATGATATGTGCAGAAGTGAAATTTTCACTTTGAGTTTGACAAAACAGCACAGTAAAATACCTGATGTTGTATACATGTATTTGTGTTCTATTGTTCTCCTAGGCCTGCAAAGTTTACCTCTGTGGAACAAAGCTAGATTTGGTGCAAGAAAACAGAAAAGCCAGAAAAGTGGACTACCACATGACAACAGATTATGCTGATGGTAAGTACTAGTACAAAATGTATCCTCAGCTGCTGTTTTCTATGTTTGGAGTCAAGATTGGATCATTCCTAAAACATTTGTTTTGTATCTGCTTATATTTTCTTTGAGCCATTGGCTGTCTTTCGAGAAAGTGCTGAGTGTGACTGTTCATTTGATTATGTCCAAAAAGGTGTTGTGTAGCAATTGGGGATGGCACCCAGGCTATTGTGCAATGCAATGACTTCACTAAACTTCCTGGCCTTGATATACTTTCTTACTTCCATAATTATACTCCACACAGAAATCCATGCAGAGGTCATAGAAACATCCAGTAAAACAGGCTTCAATGTCAGTAAGTATACATATCTGTTACCTACATGACTGTATGTATCCATCCAGGACTGATCCATTCCCAAAATGTTGGTCTTCAATGATTATCAATGCTTGCATTACTGGTAACTTTTGTATTGAAATTATTTTGTCACTTTTTTCCTTTTACTTACATGTACCTAATACTAATTCTTGTGTTTCTTTTGTTTAATTTTCCTTTAGGGAAGAGTGAAGCCCATTGCATGTCTAGATTACAGTTGCTTTGTTGACTTAACTTAATAAGGACATGTTTCTGTGTCAACAGGTGAACTGTTTGAAAAAGTAGCAGAGGGGTTTGCTAGGGACCCTGCCAATAGACAAACAGTACAAAGTAAGTATTTCATCCTTTGCTCTGATTGGCTGATTGGCAATACAATTGCATTTTGCTGGACTTTGTTTATTATCATTTTGAAAGTGCTTTTCTGTCTCCTGTGTTCAGCACTAACACCTAGTCTCCACCAGAATGACAACGCAGACTGAGGGAGAATCATTTTCTAGGGCAGTTTGGCCACCATAGAGTTTATTTGCCTTTACTGCAGCTCACTCCCCTGGCCTGTTACTGACCAAATTTTTGCAGAATCTTACTATCCTGGTGGAGGCTAACTGCAGTATGCTTCTCTGTATATGCAAAGCATAATATTTTTTTTGTTTCCTTTTAATGTCTATACTTTATCCCTTCCTGCATGACTCTTGTTTATATTCAGTTTCCAGCAGTGGCCCACAATACCCTTCTACTTCCTTTAACAAAGGTGAGTCCAGGAAAAATTAGGTTTGGTGTGAAGACTCACTCAATGCACTGCCTCATTTCTACACTGCATCTTTGAGTCTTTTCAGCATTTTGTTTTATTTGAATTTACATCTTGTTTTATCCGTTAAATCCGTTATATGGTGATTTCAAGATTTTTTATATCAGGCTGAGTCAGCCAATGAACTCTGAGAGTCAATCAAAGTTTGTAGAACAAACTGAAATTATCCAATGTGAGACTGATGTTAAAGCTGAGATTAGCAAGCATTGTGACATTAACTCTAAATGTAGGCTTGACAAATGAACACATATCCAGTAACCTGCAAAGCGGAACAACACAACCCATAATCTGCATGTATACTACACTCAAATACCACTTTTTACCAACGTAGTCTTGTATATCATGTAAAGTTGTCTTCATATCTGCTGTAGGTGCCGAGAACTTCCAAGTCACAGAGCAGGGCAAGTCCAGAGGGGGCTGCTGTTCATAGGAGGTCTCCAAGTACAACTCAGGCAGATGGTCATAAATTTTAGCCTGGAGCCCATCCTCCTTAACTTTACTCTGGTCCCCAAGTCTGGGGTATCGGATCTTGGGGAGTGGAACTAGGCTAGACTCCAGGATACATGTTTTAGCACCAGTAGCAACATATGTCTCCAGGACTGGCCATTCAGGTTTTGTGTGGTTTATATCTTCAGCTATCCTAAGACCTGAATTGGGATCGTTCGTTGCTAAAATTCTGACTTTTTAGATAACATTCAGTTAAACATCCTTATAAGTATTGGATGATTTAAGAAGCCATTGCCCTTTTGCTGGCTGTAACACAGTTAAGTTTAAAAAAACTCTGTTAAGCATTTACAATCACTAGGTCCAAATTAGATGTCAAAAATGCCTGCTTTTCACTCCCCTTTCATATGGAATACTGGATAAATGGCCTTTTAAGCAAATGCCTTTTCTGCTACCTCTAACACAGCAAAACTTTAGATTTATTCTCCAAGTTTAGATATTATCCAGTACTGTTCAAAACAAGGGGTGGCAAATCATTGCTTTCAAGGTGTTGTTTGTAAAATAAGTAAGATGTAAGTGCTATTTTATTTGAAATTTTGGTCTGTAAAAATTCCATTGTCTCAATAGTATATATCAGATAGAAAGTTGGTCTCCTAATAGCCTAGGTTCAGAATGATCTGAATCAAAATCTTTGTTGCAAATTGATACAAGTATGTATAATTGTATAACAGAATGAAACATGTACTCACTATCAGTAACCCTTTTGTTAACTTCTGTATTTTTGGAAGTAGTAACATAATTTTGATGCTGTTTGGTACCTATAAAGCACTAAAGCCTATGTATTGTATGTATAAGAAATGACATTTTGGTTCCCCACTAAAACCAGACTTATATTGGAATACAGGTAGATAGAGTAATATCATTTGTCATTTTATGCCTTCTCAGATTCTTACCAACTCATTGTGGATCCTCTATCTGTATAATGTTGGAGATAGAATTGTTGCCACCTGCAAAGAAAACTTGGCATTGAGGCCTGTGAACTGCAGTGGATATAAAATGACATGTTTGTAAATGTTATACCTTTATGTAAAGTGTTAAACCTGTACACCAGAAGAAATTATTATGACTTACATGTACTACCAGTATTGAAATTCTTAGGACTTTAGTTAGATGTTTGTATGGGAGGGTGACTATAGAGTACCTTTTTGCTGCTGTGTGCATCCAATTTATACTAACATTGTCAGTCAAGCTCAGTGAGTTACTCTGTTATACATGTAACATTACAACTTAATGTAAATCGTAATCACATGTACCTGTATGGACATGCTCATGTTGCAAATTGTCAGTAACTGTTCAGGTGATGTTACAGCATAGGTTCATGCAAAGAGGAAATGCTGCTTTTGTAATTACGGTAACTTTAATTTTGTTTTAAGATTAGGAAGGCATTTATATTTTATGTGTATGTACAAAATTGTACATCATCAAGTATTAGGGGTTCATAACAGGGACTGCATGTTTCTTATCTCACAAATAGCAGAATTGCTCTGTTTCATCTTGTCTCTAAGATCGTGAATGTTTTTGTGGAGCTGGGTGTGTGATCCATATGGGAACACAAGATGCTGCTGTATTTGTGGACGCAATGATGCAATTGCAAGGAAAAGTTTGACAAAAGCTGCCAATTTTAGTTTCACATTTGTGTACATTTTATGCTTTGAGAAACAGCAACCTTGTAATGAGTTGAACTGTAAGCCTTAGTTTACAACTTTACATGGGACAGAATGTTGAAGTCTACTTTCTTTTTGCAAATCTTTGGCCAGTAAGGTGTCACGTAATGTTTACTGTATACTGGTAGCTTTGCTTTTATTCTTTCAAAGAAATGTACATATTGTTCATGGCTAATGTGAAATGGAATTAACACTTTTAATGTATCAATATGACCAATATGATTAAGTTATTCTAATGTTGGTGGATTTCCTTTTGTCTGTTTTTTGTTGGCTCATTCTACTAGTAGATACTGTACAAAATGTAGTATCTAAAACGAAGCAGCAGAAATGTCATTTACTTAGGTCTCTTATCACTACCTCACAAAAATTCTATCCAACCCACCAATGGATGAAAGAATACCATACACACACAGGCAAACACATGTCTTTGGTACTGAACACCTTCCATACACAAACACACCTGTCCTTGGTGCTGAACACCTTCCATACACAAACACACCTGTCCTTGGTGCTGAACACTTTCCATACACAAACACACCTGTCCTTGGTGCTGAACACCATCCACACGAAAATACCTGTCCTTGGTGCTGAACACCTTCCACACACAAACGCCCGTCCTTGGCACTGAACACATTCTGCACACATGCACACCCATCCTTGGCACTGAACACATGCTGCACACATGCACACCCATCCTTGGTGCTGAACACCTTCTGCACACAAACACACCTGTCTCCTGGATGTCTTATTGCTATGTGAATGTCCTGCAGCACTTACACATAGCTAGATGTCACTGTTAGACTGTCTTTGTCAGCGCTGCAACTGCTTTCATTATATGCCTCCTGCACCATTAATAATGTATGATAGAGGTCGCTTTTACACCATCACAGCACCATAATCCCTTTGGTTAACAATGAAAATGTCACATCATTGATGTTGTGTTAGATATACATTGTAGTAAGTAGTAAGGTGCACATTATACAAGTAAGCTGGTGAGAAAATAAGTATTAGCAGATATGGTTTCTGTAAATATATCTTTACAATGTATCTAATAGAAAATATGAATGCACAAGAAAAACACACACACTCAGAGACCTTTTGATTAAATAGCATTTATCCTTTCTTGTTATCAAAAGCCAGAGCCCAAAATAGATCTGTGAATATGTTTATATCAGAAGACTGTTTGATGGCCAGACCCTTGAACTGCACATGTAGGAACCAGGTGTCAGATAAACCCTGCAAGTTTGGAATACCCAGACAACCACATACATACATAGTGTTCCACTGCACTTGTAGACTTCTAAAGGTGAAAAACAGAACCTTTGGACATTTGAAATGTACTGGTTCACTACATAACTGCATCAATTTGACCATACACTGGATACCTTATTATTACATGTCAATTAGCGATGTTAATTCAATCATTCAAGTAAACATATACATCCACTGTTGTTAGCTTCCAGGTCAATACATTTGTAGTACATAAAATCAGTTTGTGCAGCAATGTCTTAAATGTGAACACAAAAATATCAGATTGCTGACAAGCTACTGCTTATCTATACAAGTGTATAACAATCAGTATAATGTCTAAACACAAGTAAGTTACAGGTTTACTTTTACCTTCAATGTAAGTTACAAATTTCATGTCTGGCATTAGTTACTGCATCCTTCCCAAAAACTGTCCCTCTGAAACCCAAACAATTTGAAGCATTAAATACTGTACAACATAATACATATAGTTGGATATTATATCAAGGTAGTAGATCTAACAGAAGCTTCACTTATCACCATAACTTGTGTCTTCATTGTGTTCTTATCATAGACAGAAAAATGAAGAACACAACACAAAAGGTCCCTGCACAATTACATAGCAATCACCTTCCTTCTAAGTGTGACAGAAATCAAAAACACCCATGTACCTGCTACCTACAGTTAAAAACAAGGTTTCACATATTTTCAGGTGAAATAGCTAAATTAAATCAGAGTTGCATCAATTTCAGATTTATAACTCCCAGATCGGAATCTACAAGCCTTGTGTAACAACATGACTGACACTGGTTCTAAAATGTCTCCAGTAACAAAATACTGTGATAAAACAAGTATCGACATGGTTACTGGTAAAAAGCATTCAAATTTAATTGCTGACTTCTGGTATCCTGTATCCCAAATGATTTACACCAGTTCATAATATCATTTCACCAAACTGTCCAATTCTACCATCTCTACAACAAGAACCATTAAAATATCTTGTGTACATTTATTTACATGATATATAACCTTTATTACCAAGGGTGAAACCACGTTTTCCACATCAGGAATTTGGTAGCCTGACATGATCCTATTAGTCTACTTGGCTCTTTGGAGAATATCAATGTTTTTCACAGTAAGCAAAATATAGATAGTCTTTTTTTGAAGAGTATAATTGCACTTTAGTCGGACAAGGCAGCAGCAGCAGCATGGCTTCCATTTCCATATCACCTGTTCCCACCTACAGAACTACATACTGTAGGTACTCCCTTACTATTAACCACAAACCTAACCAAGAAATCAGACCTCAGGGAAGTATGCAATCCTCAGCGTCCCGAATTCCCCCATGTCAACTACTAATTCCTGTCGGCTCCCAGTCAGATTCTGAGAGCGTCGCGTTCATCCAATTTCCTGAGTCTGACTTTTTTACCTCCTGCCATTCTGCCTGTCTATTTCCCCCACCCATATGCTGTCATCCTACTGTTAGGACAAACAAATACACAAACCCACAGCTCAGCCATGCTGTTCCAAATGTGACATACAGAGCTAGTGTAGCATAGACCCTGTGAGAGTAGAAATGCATTTCTAAAATCTATGTCACAGAAAAATAGCACTGCGTACCAGTATGTTCTCCACTCAAGTTGTGGTGACAAAAATAGTGGGAAATCTCAGTCATGGCTCAAAATCTGGAAGCTTATTATTCTCAGATAGGTATACGTGTGCAACTTCCCACCTTTGTCAGGAAAGTAATGCTTTGATGGAAGCTGAATTTGAACTACTAGTTGTACAATCAATGTTTCAAGACTTTTCTCTGATGGCACATCATAGCCTTTACATGTTGAAAGATCAATGGCACTAGCTTCTATCTTTTCTTTCTTCAGCTATTCTTGAAAACGACAAAATTATCCAGTATTTTCACACAAGACATGATACTGTTCCCACCTCAGAAAATTTGGCAGTTTGTACATCAATATGGGTAGATTGAGTTCTAGGCCGCTGAACATACAGTCCTTTACATAGTATGATTATCTTCAACAATGACAAGAAGATTGTTCTTCGAAAAATCTGACTTTGAGTCCATTAGTACCTCTCTCATTTACCAACCCTAAATGTACTTCTACATAAGCTACTACTGGATTAAAACCTTTTAAAATACCCATAGAGAATCGTACAAGTGCAACGCTACTTCTGATTGTTCTGTTTGTCTCATGCAATACACGACACCAGGCCCATGGTGGCGATGCCTGCTATCATCATGGCCACCTGTTTGAAGGACTCCCAGCCTGACGTTTCCTCCAGCAGGTCCGGCACCACCGTCACCAAGGCAACGTAGATGAACCCGCCCGACGTGAAGGGCAGGATCCAGGCCGTGGTGTCTCCTGTACAACACAACATCATGGTGATTATTTGCAATGTTCTTGCCCACATGGGCTAAATGCAATAATCATACTTTAACATCAAAGACTAAAGATTAAACATCATTACCTGTAGTGTGGATGGTGAACAAGGGGAGCGGCAAAACTGTTACTAAATCTATTGTATATATCAACCGGGTACAGAACTCAATAGTAGTACATTGTAATTCCATATGATAGTGAGTCATAGATATACATCTGCCAATTGTTTCTTTGTGTAGGCCTGTATTACAACAAACAAAACTCGTAAATTATAAAGATGTCAGACACCATACCCTCTCCTGTTGTGTGTTTTATGTAACAAAGCAGCTCATGGCAACCTACCGGCTCCCTCAGCTGACTCGGCCAGCAGTGCCGTCGCGGTCCCAAACATCCCGCCGGATGCTGTGATGATCTGGGCCTTGGCTGCCCGCCATCTGGAGAAGCCTGCGCGCATCAGGATGGCGAAGTCCCCAATCTCATGCGGAATCTCATGGAGGAGAATGGCCAGCGTTGTCAGCACACCAACCTGGGGAACAGATAGTCAACATTTCTTCATGTTTTGTTGCTTTCTTTTCGATGCATAAAGAACCTAATGGTGTGAGGAATCTCAAATCTTCTAAACATGTTTTCCAAAGTGCCACATGCTTATTTTAATTGAATCAGATGTGTTTAATTATATTTGTTGACTAATGCATGTATTTGTCATCCAACTGAATAGTGTATGGCAAAGTACGGCTTTCAAACCTAAGGAGCCTCAGCTGTCAACTGTTAGCAGCCCAAAAGTAACCTACCTCAAAGTAACACCAGATGTCATATCTGGAATAGATTTAAAATCTCCGAGAGGAGAGTGGAGACCAATGCATTTTCCATGGAATGTTCTACCTAGGCCTGCATCATGATCTGAGAACTAGCTGTCAGTGATAAATGCACATCAAGAAATCCATCAGCAAAAGTATATACATTGTACCCACCTTTGTACTGACAAGAAAGCTCCCTCCCACAGCCAGCCCATGGGTGAAGTTGTCTATACAGTTGGCCAGCAGGTTCAGGTACCCAGAGATCTATGTGACAACAGAGGCAGTGCTGTAAGCTGTAATATCATAGTTTTATAACCTCATGATAATGCAATCAACCCTTTCTTTTCACTGAACTGTATATAGCTAGGGAGCACACAGAAGCCTAAAATCTGGTCCCTAACAAGTTCCAGTCAAAACAACTGGAGGTCTCCACAACACCAGGATTAACAAAATAAACAGTCCAAAGACCACCAAATAAAAACATCCATCCTGTTCTTTCAGATGAAAGTTAACTCTAGTCCTACAATATCATGTGACATAATATTTGCACCTGGAGTAAAAAAATAAGTACACGGACCTGGATGTGTTGACTGGGCTGATCATCTCTATCATTTCTGCTGTTCTCGCTCAGATGCACCGGTCCGTTCTCCTGCTTTATTTTCCCATTGGCTGCTGCTTTAGATGACAATGCGGCACCATTTCTTAAAACCTCGCGCTATATATAGCACTCCCACTGCTGTCTTTTTCATGCAGACTCCTCCTCCTGATTTGACTGACATCTTGGTAGGGAGGCAAACTGCCATTTCCCTGTTGGAGAAGGAATAGAACATTATACAGGTTTTACATGCTGAGTATGCCGGTATATTAGTCACTGCCTCATGTTTAACTTTAGTAAATTACTTAAAGTTAGACATGAGGGAGTGAAATAGTTTTTTTTATTCATATAAAGTACTATTTCATGTTTCTGTTTTGGTTGATGTATGTATCTTGACTTTGCTAAATTGTTCTTTTGGTTGGAACGCAGATATGGGGAACAAACTGGAAATTTTGCTGTACAATGTAGTTGTGTGTCTGCCAGTTTCATTGTCATTCATTAGTTCACCTTATGGGGTGTGTTCCTGTGTTCTTCAGATGTCTCCTGTGAGTCAGCCTTGTCGTCCCCTGCTGTGTCTGTGAAGGTTTTCTCCATGATGAGGAAGGACATGATGCCAGCGATCGTCCACAAACCCACCCAGTTGTGGCCATGTTTCTCTTCTCCTGAGGAACCAAAGCAAAACAGCATATGTTAGAAATCATAACAAACAGTATAGATTTTTTAAATGTACATGAGACACCTGCAGAGCTAAATATAGAAATACCCAACCTTGAAAGACTCAAATCTTTTTTGTGCTCTTTTTCTTCATTGTTTACTTTCTATGCTAGAGTGCACATATAGACTTTATAGTCAATGCTGTTTGGACCCATGCAGCACAAGCCAAACATGGATTTGCAAAGGTTGGCATTTTATGAATGGAAGCAGTGGTATTAGCAAACATTAGCACAGCTCCCAGTCTTGATGGTGTCTGAGATTATTTACCTGGTCTGGGGAAAGATATACAACATGTGTTTGGTTAACAGAACATTGTAACAGACAAACACACACAAAACAACGCCCCCGTTTTCATGGACGCTATAACTAAGGGCTAAACAACACTATAATGTAGCACAATGTACAGATAAGGTGAGAAGCATGTCCGTACCTGGATCCCCCCTGTGCAGCCATGCCTCTGGCAGCAGGTGCAGGAACACGTCCCCCAGTAGTGCCCCCACCGCAAAACTCAGCATCAACTTCAACCTGCCTGCATGGGCTGCAAGGGTGAACAACAACAATTTTAATTCAAACAGTCTGGTTTGGAATCACCTACCTATATAATAGGGAAACAAATCTACCTAGGTCTAATATGAAGAAAGAGGGACTATCCACTATATCATGATTTAAGAGTAGTGATTTAATACAGGCAATAAAGGGAAAATGACCTTGCTTAGATAATTCATGCCAACACAAGTCAACAAATGACTGTGTCAGACATCTCTCACATGTACTTGAACTTGACCTATGACCTGGCAATTTGGGTGGGCTATGTACTTGATTGTACATATGCACAGTTAATTTCTGTTTTGTTATTATGACTTCTGAATGACTTAGGCATCAAAAAACTTTGTCATCTTTCAAAAAGAAATGACCATGAGAGGTAAACAAATCCCTAAGTTTTACATCTTCAAAGGATCTTTCAAAAGTAACAAAACAATCAACTTGTATGAAGATAGACTAAGGTCTAAGGTACAACACAAATGAAAGACCACATATTAGCCACTATAAATAATACAATTAGAAGAATATAGCAGTACATGTATAGGAAATGTACAAATGTTTTGGGAAAAGGTATAGCTCTGAATCAACAATTGTTGAAGTAGTGTCATAGGGAATGTTTAATGTTTGTGCTTTAATTCAAATAAACCAAAGGTCGAACCAAAACTGCACATACATGCATGTCCTTGCAGGGCCACACGTTTATGACATGTGCAGGTAACAGCAGGCTATGTTGACACAAGAAATGTTATCAATTTATGCAATGATGCTAAAATTAAAGTGACTTTGCTCTGGAGTTATGCAATCTGTGAGTGCTTAATCAATAAAATAAAACTGTTGTACGTGACTTTACATGTGTTAAATGGGGGTGGTTTGATAATAATATAGGATATTGAATTGATCAATGTGATACTGTAAATTCATGTACTTTTGCAGTTGTTTTATTTTGTGGTAGGAAGAAAAGGCTCTGTCAGGTTTTTAGTGTTTAAATTTAATTTTATATTAACTAATTCTGTAGTACAGTAGTCATCCAAGGGAGACATATCCAGGATGTCATGAATTTGTAGTAGAGAGGTCACCATGAAAACCACAAAAATCACACCACAGTGAATTCGAAGGTTTCAAGACATACAGCCATAGTAATGTTACCAGTCTAAACACTAGGATTTGTTCACTCTTCCCTTGAGGTGCCAGACCTGAGTAGATTGGCCATGCTGCTTCATGTGTTTACACCTGGCTTCCAACACAAACTGCCAGGGCTCACGTTTCCCACCAATCCTTTTTCATCAAAACTTTCCCATAATTTTCCAACAACAGATATCTCTAGGACCTACAAATAGTAGAATTGACCACCTTCCATACAGCCAAATGATGAAAGTGAACATGCCCCCTGACATGCCTGAATTGCAATGAAGCCTGCTTGTGAACTTGAGTCCTACCCACCTCAGAAATCCCAAACTGGCCCACAGCCAACCAATCACTGTAACTTACTAAGCCCTGCTGGAAACCTGGGTCTAGACACATATATGTACTCCGCAGTGACATCATTTTAAGCAGTTTGTCCTGACCTTATGTGAAAGATAAATCACAAGCATCTGGACAAGTTGGTTACAAGTCAGCTAAGATCTAGACATCCAGTGCTTTCCATAGTCAACACAGGTGTGGATTTCAAGACCTATTCAGTTTCAAGTTTACTGTTTACATCAACCTAGCTGAGGTGTGTAGATGTTAAATACAACAGCCTACTGTGGTAGGAGCACACCTGGTTTGTATAGGTATTCATGGCAACAAGACATAATTCTTTCATTTACACTACAGATGTTTTAATCTCAAGTCTGTAAGTCATTGGATACTAAAAGCACATTAGAGGACTTGTGAGACTATTGTTTGTTTCCAAGTCTACTTTTCATTGTGGAGGCGACAATACGTATACAGACCTGGCTGAAATCCAAATGTGTTTTGTTAAAGCCACACACCAGCCTGTGTGTGCACAACATATGGGAGAGTCGTGACCAATTATGCAATTACAATGTATGTAGTAATAATAGCCCAAGACCTAGTTACATACAAAAGTAGTTTGTAATATTTGCATTTGGTCCACATGAGCACGTACACATTCACACAATGGGAGGACAAACAAGTTATATTGACAATAATTAAGGCCATTGGTCATTTATCTGTCTATGTTGACATCATTCATCAGCTACTACCAGATTCTAGGAAACATTGGAACGGAAGAAAAAAAAGAACACCTGTTGCATTCTGCTACCAAATCCGAAATCTACAAACATTCAGACAATATCTAGGGAACTAGGAGACATGCCAGTTTTTCTGTAACATCAAGGACTTGCCTAAAGACTGCTCGTGGTGATGACAAAATACAAAATTTAATGTTACTGTAAATCTTAAATGTTTGTGGTGGTTTTATTACCTAGTGTTTTATGACCTATATACCACAAAATTAACACACTGTGTGTTAACTGTGTTTCAATTATGTTCAGGTTCAACTGTGAACACTGCAAGAAAACTCCTTTTCCCCCCTACTGCAAAATAAAACCACCGCATATCAAATGAATTGACAGTACTTCTCCAACATAGGTATGCTATACAACAGGAAGAACAGCTTGTGGTATGGGGGGATTACCCAGGTTGTCTGTTTAATGACACGTCATGCTCCAATTCTTCATCAACCAGGATTTGTGGAATAATGTGCGGTAAAAAAGTGACAAAAAGGTGTTGAGGGTCCAAGTTTGAGTACACATGTCTGATAATCTGATTTGAATTGACATTAGATAACATGGCTGAAGAGTTTAAGAAGTGGTGTTTTGGGGTAAAAATGGATTTTTGCCTCAAGCCATCCAAAGTGATGCACCTGCTAGACCCAGATTGAGCTGTCAGCCTGTGGTATTCTGTAACCAGATTTGCAACACCTCATTTCCTGGATGATGTAAAAATTACAGTACTTTATTCATAATTGATTAAATTATACACATGGTTTGTGTCTTTCTGACAAAGTCAGTCATTTCTGCTGCAATTTTTTTTCTATGGGGTATATCCTATGCAAAAGTTCCCAATTTTGTGCAATACATGTACTTGGTAATCTTCATATGAAAATAATGCTTTTTGTCTGTTGATTTTAACAAAATTTAAGAGGTTGAAGAAACAAAACCTCTGTTGGTCTTGTAGCTGAAGGGATACCTTTCCAAGCCACAATTATTTTGATTCCAAATTATTCACTGAAAGGCTGAATGAAACAGTCGCTAGATAAGTTATAAGCTTTGTTACAGGTTTGAATCATTTACCAGTAATCACCCATTATAATGCCTTAATTTTTTTCAATATGTCAAACTTATTCTGCCCAACAATCCCACATTGTACAGGCTACATCTGATTCTGAGTAACACACTGTACAGACCATGCTATCATCTTGGCCCTGCTAATTATGAAGCAATCATACAGTTGGACAACTGTCAATGGTTTTCTTTTCCCTGGCCATACACTGTCTGCAACATTCATTCAATCACATGGATAAGTGTACAGAAGAGCAATACAAACATGTATTTCATTCTTGTTGTGTTCCCAACAAGTTATTGTTATGATAAGCCTGGCTCTAAATAGCTGCAGGGCATGGTTTCCATTCTTGATGTTGTTTTTGAACCACAAGTTCCCGGGTTATCTAAGAGAAATCTATGAGACTACTACATGGCTTCGAAACTTTTGCAAAACTCAGTTGCTTCCATTAAGATAAGTATATGTCACATATAAATATTTGAAGGGCCGGGATAGTGTATAATAAGACAAACAACTGTTAAAATAGTGAGCTTTAATTCGGTCCCATTTCGGGGGAATACCTGGCCAACACGTACAATTTGATTATGACGTTTATACTTTGATACTTTCTTTCCTTGACAAAGGTTATGACAACATACTGGACCCACCTCCTTTTCTAAGCGCCGGACCAGCTTCCAGCGGGATGACAAGTAATGGGAAGACACCGCACATCCCTACTGCTACAGACCCCAGGAAGGAGTACAGCCAGACGTGCTCCGGCCTTCCCCCGTCTTCACTCTCCGACAAGTCTTGTCTGGTGGACTCGAGTTGAGCCCGCTGCGGTCTCTGTGGCTTGGCCCTGTGAATCTCGGCTTGGCAGCCAACAGCGGCGACTATCAGGAGTACAAACACCAGTCTGGATGAGAACGCTTTCATGATGATCGGTGTAAATATGCCGCGGACGCGAGACAAGCTCTCTCTGGAATCTGGACGTGGGCACTTAATCTTTGGATTCTTCTACCCTACGACTACGGCTACCTTCGGACCGGGTCGATGCGCTGGTGTGTCGCCGTCTTGACGCTCCTTCCTCGCGCCGTTGTCTTACCCTGAAGACGAACGGGGACAAAGTTCGTCAGCCGTCAGGTAAGGCCGCGCGACCCACTTCCTGATGGCTTCTCTGGAATTTTCCGAATCCGCTGCCAAAAATTACCCTGGCCCCCGCCTTCACTCCAATCGCTGCAGCTGTTTGCCTACACTGAGAGCGAACAGAAGTCACAGCACTGTCGTGAACGTGTGCCGGCAAAGACGGTGGCAAAACCCACACGAGACCACATCGTTGCGTCACTGAACTCTGATCTTGGTCAACAAGTTAGATCGTTTCCTTCTACAGTCTCAGTACTTCTGCCACCTCACTTGTTTTTCTGACGTGACCTTTGGCCCGACGATCTCGTGCCCAGGACATTGCACGCACTTAGAACAAACAGTTTTAAATCTCTGCCTGTTAATCTTTCAGATAGATAATGATTTTACAAGACATTGTATTCTACATGATGTAACGTGAGAAAAACTGATGAAAAAGTCAATAATTCGCCTAGATAGAGAGTCACCGTTGATAAACTCTCGCGAGACCATGGTGCACTCTCGTGCCCAGAACAGAGATGAAGATGCAAAGACATAGGGACCTGCTAGAGGCCGCTTTTGAATCACACATCCACATGTTGATTTGATTAGGCCATGTTGATTTGATTGTATGGATGACATCACACGCGCATGAATTTTCGTCGGTTTAAAAAAAAACATACTGTAAATCGTACAAAATGAGCGAATGTATGTCTCAATGACAGTCTCATGCAAAAAAAAAGTATTGGAAAACGATACTAATGTCGTAGAATTCCGAAACCAGGACAAGAAGAAAATGTCATGAAGAAAATGTGAAGAAATAAAAATGAAGAGTCTATTATTATTCGCCATACCATAATCTGTGTGTTTAGTTATTTGTTCAACCTTTATGACCACGTAGATTTCATAATAAAGGAAACTTTTTTTGCCAAACTTTTTTTTATGCGCACGCTCGCCGCAGTTTTGGGGTTCCCAAGGATGTCATCCATATAATCAAATCAACAACTATATGGGAACCCCAACACTGATGCGAGCGTGCGAATGAAAACAAAGTTTGACGAAAAAGTTTCTTTCATTATGACATTTGCGTGGTAATGAAGTTTGAACAATCACGGGAAAGTCTGCTTTTGCAACCGGAAAATACATACAGTAGAAGTGTTGCAGATGTCCAACAAAAACTCGTGACCTAACTGATTGACGTCAGGAATAATCTGAATAAATATGCCCCCCGTCCCGACCCATATGTCACTCAGCACGAGGTGTATTCAGGTAATAATTAATTCAGGTGATTAACCCCTAGGTCAGGTGATTAACCCCTAGGTAAGTAAACAGTTGACCCGATTACGGGGTGGTAAAATGTGTCTGTGTGTCCGTCGTGCCTTGGGTAACTTATCTTTTCCTGTCCACTTTCGTGGACCGAGGCAGCACCGTGCCCCATAATACAAGTTTAACGCTGTTATGAAGTTTAAAGATTTCATTGTAAAGTTTAGTTTTTAGTTTATCATTGTAAAATTTCGTGACTCATACGGTAAGGGGCCATAAAACAAGTTCGCACTGAACGTAATGCCACATACCATACTGCATATAGTGAGTATAGTCTTTTCGTTGTATTGACAATAGATCATACAATCTATTACACTATCTTCTGTACTTCTTTTGAGACGTTTACACAAAATGACTTTTTTTCTGGACATTTCTTTGTCATGTGAAAAAGTCATCGATATCAATCATTTGTACCTGTTTGACAGTATATACTTATCATTCCCGCATGGTGAAATATTGGCGTCCCTTTACTTCTCTTTGTTGTCTTTTCTTGTTTAACCGATAATTATGTGACAATCTAGATTCTTCCTCTGGTGATACAACAATCAGCCCTTTACATTGCATATCTGATTTGGAACGAGAAAAAGATATCCCGTTTGCACTGAATGAATAGTGAATCTCTGTTGATCTTACACTACCCCGTTCTCCCTTTTGCTTGTTGTCAATTTTTTTTTCTGCAATTTCACTTTTCCTATTTAGCTACCGTCCTGGTACAGATCTTGAATCTGGTACATCGTGAATTTGTGTCCAGTCTGCGAGGTCATTTGGTCCAGCAGAAGCGCTAGCCAGACCCCGATCTTTATTAGTCCTTGACTCCCTGTTATTGTAACAGAAAAAAAAGTTAACTGTCTGCTCAAGCTGCAGCAACTGATGTGGTTAAAAAAACAGGATTAATCCTTCGGCGGCACTAAAGTAAAGGAGATCTCCTCTAAGTGGTTGTGATTAGTCTTATCTTATTCAAAGAATTATTACGAGTACTATGCGACAATCAAGGTTTCTGGCATAGATTCATGAATCCAATGCTTTATAAGCATATATAGTGCATGTTTATTAAGCATATATAATGTGAATGTTTTTCTACTGGTATTTGTTCGGTCAGAACTATCAACATTCTTGAGTATGTAAAATTTATACAACGATAAAAGACAATTGGATGTTTGGAAGGGTGAACCAAATGTACCCTTTTGTCTTTTATCTACTAGAGAAAAATCAAAGAATATGCCTCACCTATTCTTTGATTTTACTGTTTGCATTTCTTTCTATTTCAGGTCATTTGTAGCATTGTATTTGTCTCTGCTGGACAGAATATGTCATGCACGACAAGATCAAGTTCCAACATCTTTTCACACGATTGAAGTACGGGCATGATAATATATGTGTCCACGAGTGGTATGTTCAGTGCTATATTCACTGAGACAATAGAAAGATTGTTGATGGATTTAGCGTATTAGGAATGGAGAGCGTTGGGTTAATCCCCCTGCCAAAGGGGATCACACGAATTCATCCATACAGACGGAAAGAAGAAATGGAAAAAGTTCGTCAGCAAGAGGGTTTACATTTATGAGGCTGCGTGCGTGTGTGGCAGTGGTTCAAGATTGTATTGAGGGAGGAATACTACAAAGAACATTAACTGCAATATATATAGAGAGAGAGAGTTCAAGCAATAAAAAGTAAAGAGTAGTCGGCAACTTGTTGTTTTCTCTTGTTCATGATTCTTCGGCAGTGACAAATGTGGGCCAGGTGTGTACTTTTGTGCAACGTCTGACAAGGGAGGATGAGAAATGGAAGGAGACTCTTTCATCTGTACGGTAATTACGTTACAATGGAACCGGCAAACTTTGATGTGAAGAGTCTCTCCACAGGAATCATCCTTAATCCCTCCTCCTGGCAGAGATGTGTTAAACAATGGCAGGGTACCTTTATGGACCTATTTATCAAGGCAGGAGTTAACTGTGTCCGATCAGCTGACGGTTCAACCTTACAAAAAGTCGTAAAAAGGATTAACGTCTCACTTCTAGGTACTAAACGCAACAAAGGAGTAAAATTGAATGTGCACGCGACACGTTTGGTCCCACCAGATAGTCTTTGCCAGACCAGGGTTGCAGAATATGTCGGCTAACTCCTCTGGTATATTTATTATTCTGTATACTTAGTTTTTGGCCAATTTCTGACTATTGAAGTCTAGTAGACACTAAATCTATGATCCAGACACTCGATTCGCTAGTTGAACTTTCCCGCCCCGGGAGAAGTTGAATCCGCAGTTCAAAACGCATGGTCATGTGACTAATCAGGTGAAATTAAGGCCAGTCTTTTATATTTATGTAGTTGGGTGGAATCCTTCGCGTGGGTCTGGGAGGAATGCTTGCGATGTGTACATCACACGGGTCAACCGTATAACAACGCTGACAGTTGACATATCTTCTTTCGTGCCAACGAAAACACTCCAAATGGCGGGATTGAGGAACAAACAGGAAACTGATAGCAACTAAAACAAATTAAAGTCTGTTCATGAAATTGTGTAGCCTGGGTGTCATCCTCTTGTATACTTGGGCTCCCATACTCGGTCCCGAACGATTTTTGCAAGTATAGGAGCCACAACTAGGATGACACCCAGACTAGAAACAAAGTACCTATCAGGATTTTATTAGTAGCGGAACATCTAGAAATATATCTGTATCGATATGTAACAATTCTTAGACATAACAGGCCAGCTAGCAGACTGGAAGTTACAATTACTAGTATTTCTGGAAGCATACAATCATACGAATATGATCCCTGTGATTTCTGGGTGCCATGATGCCATTCAATTAAGTTTAATGAAGCATGCACAAGCTTGGGGCCTCTCTTTCCCACCTTCCTGTATACGGCATCACTAACTATAATGGGAACTTTAGGTTGATTGGTTATAAGTGTCTCTTTTTGTTGTTAAAAATGTTTAGCACGTAAAAGTTGTAAAACCACGAGTCATCGGCGGTCGACAACCTGTATGAAAGCTGATACCTCGAACTCCGAATCTGCCATGCTTGGTCGGTTCGGAGATGCCCTAGGGCCCTGCCGCGCCTCTGTGAGGAGGCTACCCGCTCCCTGTTTGACGCGTGTTATCTACTGAAGCAGAGCTTTATCTACGTGCCCCCTGTGACAATTTGGACATCAGATAACGACTTGCGGGAGGTGGAGACGGACGGGTTTGTGACGCGGGACGACCGCGCACACCTGTTCCCGCCTCCCCGGCGCGGGCGGACCGCCTGGACCACCGCGGGTCTACATGTACAAGAACGTACGGTCCTCTTCAACTCCACATCCTTGGAGTGGGGGCTTCATCTCTACTTTATCGCCTCTTGTTTTCTTTAGTTTTGAGTTGGTACTGCGAGAAAGAGTTCTCGGAAGATAGAGGGCGCCCCGCGCCGCTTGACGTACAGGTGTTCTAACAGGTGGTCGGAGGAAACTGCACACTGGAACGTCCCACGGCTATCTCCACTTTCATCTCTTGGTAAGCTATTTAAATCTTCAGATAATTCATTTCTTAGTTTTCCTTCTTCAGAGAGTAAGAGGTATAAGTTATTTTATGACCTGCACAGCATTCTGTGGTATTTTTGTTCACTGCCTCGCCGCTGCAAGCCTGAAGAAAAACGCCTCGTACTTGTGTATCTACGAAATGTTGAGAACAGCTCTCCATTCGGCAAAGGTATACCGAGCAGGAGAAGTTACAATTCAGTAAGTCGGTGACATATAAGTTCAGACGACACACGACTGACAAGCGTGAAGTGTCTGGGAAAGTGTAACGTTGCACCTCTACGTGACGTTTGCGTGTGGCACCACAAGAGAGTACTACTAGTGATTTAGAAAGTAACCCAAGCGCCTAAACCATTCTCCAGCATAGCCGTGAACTTTAATTTCTGACAGGGAAGATGGCAAATGTGTTGTCCTCTCCTTGTTTTTGTCTGAAAGTTAAGAAATTGCTACAGCTATCTCCTAGAATACCATCGATCCGCTATCTGCTGTTTGTCCCGACAATTGTAATGTCTCAAAATAAGACATGTCAATCTTCTTATAGTTTCCTTACATGCATGCCTCTGTCCAGGTCACTTGTCCTGTCATCCAAACGGACATTCAGTAGGCATGGCAGCACTTTTCACAATGATCAATCACCGTCGCCTTTAATGAAAAAAATGAAATGGTCCCAAATTCTATACTTCCTCCCATGAGACAAATGTCACACGTAACTTAGTCTAGTGGACTACATGATCTTTACCACACATGACGTTTATCAGCTCGACCTTGCTTGATATCTTCCGTGTCTGTGATCGTCTGTCTTCTTGACTTCACATGCCCGATCATGGCTCTGTAGGAATTCCATATTGAAACCGTCAAATTTTTCCAATTATCTGATAACATCTGTCTGTACTGATGTATCTGTCAGTGGTATAAATGACAAGACGACCACCTGAACAACGTGCGTAGGTGGGTGGGTGGACTTGCTCTGGAAAAATTGCGAACAAAAAAGAGATACACGTGTCTAGGTTTTGCGGGTTCTTTCAAAACGATCGCGGATATTTGAATATCCTAAACACAACGTGGGAGCCAGAGAAATTCACTCATACGTTTTATGATGAGATGTGTTTACTTCGTGCGTCGTCATGACGACGGCCTTAAACATGTCATTTTGCGTCGTGAGATCAAAGAGCATGGGAATGTCTTCATCGTAACAGCTGTAGAACTACATGGGAAAAATAAGCGAAAAGATATTATCAGTAAATTTCCCACATCCTACCTCACGATGTAAACAGCGATAGCGATTTCTTCCCAACACAAAGCGGGGGGTGCGAGGCTACTAACTAACCGTGGCTGGGAGGCGGGTATTTGTACTCTCCAAGCAGAGGTTTGGATTTTGGGTTATTTTTATCAGGGTCTCCTTTTGCACTGGAATTTTTCTTTCACCAAACCCAACGGTGAAAAAAATTCCAGTGCAAATAAGAAACTCTCATTAAAAAGTCTAAAAACACGCCAAAAATAACCCAAAAACCCAAACCTCTGCTTGGAGATCTAGAGTTAGGTATTTGAGCAAAGTTGGCTGTGGATGTGAAGGTTTTGTATAATACTTTGTCTAACAGCTGGTTAATGGTGTGTATGTGTCCACTGCAGGTTTGTCAGAGGGACAGTAGTGAATATTCCAGGATGTACTAGTACACTCCACCCCAGCCCCTGAGGACAACGTTTCGGGATCCCACGCACAGGAAATGGTAAGCCTCCGCTGCAAGTCATTGCATGACTTTCATGCATGCCAGACAGGCATCGACAGAACAAACCACAGACAAGCTAGGCAGCCTTTACCGTAACAAAACAGATAAATTTTGCTGGACATCTGCACGACTTCTGAAGAATGCCCAGTGTTTCCGATCGTCGCACTACGTACATATGATCGGGCACTAACAAGTGTATGTTCTGATGATCGGATATAAGGCGTCGAGATCGTTTTGTTTTGATGAAACTGCTACTTTCTTCACTCAGACAGTGATGATTGCACGTGCGTATACTCACCTACACTCATTCAAGACCTAACTGTCATACACGGCCGCGGGTGGCGGAGTGGATATACGGCCTGGTCATGACAGTTCGACACGGTTTAATAAACTATGTGATTGGAAATAAATCACATAAGAAGGCCGAAAATACATGCAAAGAAGTTACAACAGAAGATAATGCATCGTGACGTCTTCATGCTGAGCGTTTTACTTGATGACGTACTCTGACAAAATATTTACAACATTTGTCTCCGTTACTATAGTTATGTAGCCTACGGCCCAGCAGCAAGATGTGCCGAACAATCAATCCATTTGGCGGTCTCCAAGGCGATGTTCCGAACATTTGCTACAAAAATGATATACTACAATGTGCGTTACGTTAATGGCAGAGGGCAAACACCTGTTACGTTCCCACCACTCGCGATAAGATCTCATGGAAACGTGCATAACGTGGAAGATGTGTGCAACTAGATATGATGGATAGGGAGTTTTAGAAACTTAAATGCCAGTGCCTGTACATCCTTTTAACTTTGTCACAAAAAAAGCTACCACAATAAACCGTTTGTGCTTATCATGTACTGGTTTCACTTTTTGTCTAATTCCCCGTAGATACAGTAACAAGTAGGCCACACGGATCAGGTATCCAGTTTGGCCTGCGGATATCCGGCTTAATCCGCTGACCACCCGTCAATCGATCTAAATTCTGTAATTTCGCCATGATAACATAATTACCCGCGGCGTCAACTTAGAAAAAAGTGTCTGAACAGAACGCACAAGAAGTCAGTTTTCAAACCTCAGGGAAGTATTGGGAATTGAGTTTTTGTGAACTTATTGACACAATCAGAGATGGTCTGGCGTAGTTTCAACGGGCCAATGAGGAACCCTGCATGCTAAGAGTTTGTTGTGACACCCCCTGAGTGGATAAACCCCAAGTATTAAACTGTGTGCAGGTAGACTTACGTCCTTCCAGACTTCCAACTTAACCTTAATGTCAATCTGCGGTAACCCTTCCCGGACACAAGCAACCATAGACACAAACACACCAATCCACCATCCAGGCAAACTCAAATTTCTTTTGTTTCCTTTCCTCTTCTAGATCCGCCTCCAACCTTAACGATCGACGTGAAGATGGAAAAAAAAGTCCCGGTGTACTGACTGTGGCGACGGTGAAGAATTATATCTATCAGCTACATAGTATTTCAACAGTGTACATGGCTGTAGATACTGCATCTACATTGTACGTGGACTATGATATAGTGTACTTTGACGCTGGTCTTCTGCTTCAGTATATATGTGCACAGAACATAAAGATTTGATACTGATGGCTAATTAGCAGTCAGCACACTCCTACCTGGTGTGAACAAGGTACCATACACTCTACAATCTGAACGCTACTATCCGTCGTTTTAAGTTAGAACGGACTTTCATGGTAGGAGGAAAACAGTGAATTGCAACACCCATATTTGTGTAATTAAATGGCTGGGAACTAAACACGCTCCTGGCTGCCTGACTAAAGCCAGCACGGTTTAGATCAGTCAAAACCATTTTGGTCTAGAAAAAAGGTTACTAGCCTGTAAGATTAGCATTTGTTGTTGTGTACAGTAATGTGTGCTGTAGCATACCGAGCAGAGGCAATTGACAGGAATTGATGGCCAGGAAGATATAATCTTAGATGAATAATCGCCAACTTCTACTTCAATACCTTTCACACCTCGCCGTGCTCCTGCACAGACACAAGAATGCCGTGGTACGTGTCCGACAACACGGTCTCAATGTCAGAAAATCTCCCCCATTTCCAGGGCATTTGTCTGGGGATTATCGGATAAACGCTGTCCACACTTGAATAGCGCCCTTCACCTTATACGGACCATACAGAGACGTTTGTACACACAGAGCTGTAGCTTCGATACTTAAACGTATTTTTGTGCATGATAACCAGTACTACTGTAGCAACAAAGAGACACTAGCGGTGATAGACTCATCATATTTATCCGTGACTACTCGGCACAGGATATTAGTCAGCAATTCTACAAGCCTACAGGTGTTTTTCATGGAAGGTCATTTGTGTTGGTAGCAGACATGGTGACATAGTGAGATGCTAAACTTCAACTCAAAGGGTATATAAGGAACACTGTCGCCTTCATCAGAATAACTAATGACAAATCGCATCCGAACGTTAAGGCAACAGTGTCAGTGGTCGTTGAAAATGTGATCATTGCCTACCCTTTGTAGTGGAATTAAGTTTATCATCGTACTATACAGCTTTTTATTGGAAAAATGTCCTCACAAGTTTACTCAAGGTTTAAGTTTTAATCCGTCACCTGCAGCCGGCAGACGCCTGTTGTTTTGCTAAGCTCGAGTCTGTCTGCAGATCAGGATTGGTTTACAACGGTTATGGACTCGCTATGTCAAGTATCCATTGATACCCGTGGGGGTCAAGGAGGCTCTCGGTTGAGCACACCTCTCAGACAGTCGTTTTAACACATGACAGCATACATCAGAATGAGTTAGTGCACCAGGAGACATCGTCAGGTACCTAGGTGAAGGGTGTTAATTGTACGTGCAAAAATGTTTGCAAATCCTTTAAGATGTCAAACGTCTAGTGTTAGTTAAATGCGACTAATGTTGAACGCTGAAATACGCTGCCTAACCAGTGTATAAAAACGAGTCGCTTATCAATTACAACATGTAAAAATGTAACTTCAAGATATTACATATACATGGAACTGTATATATATATATATATACGTAGGTATGTATAGTTAAACAATGGCGCGGCCACTTTTTGTGTTATCATATGTATTCTTAGGATAGACAATTAAAGTCTAGAAATAAGATAGATTGTTTGAGCCCTTGTCAAACTCCGTCCAAAACGTTGTATAGTTGTATAAGTCATTATATTAAGTCATTATATTAGGTCATTATATTAGTTATATCTAGTTTGATGCCGTACGAATTATGCTTGTATCTACATTGTACTTGTTTTTATTACTAAGTAGATAGTGTGACAACTGAAAATGATGTGTACTGTATCTTTGTGATACAGAACCGAATTTAGATGACCGTGAAGTAATACTAGTAGTAGTTAGATGCGGCATCTAGCGATCATAGTGATTATTGCACGCATATGAACTTTTCCCGCTCAAGGGAATAATCTGGCAATAAAACTGACTATTATAGTATATCCACGTGTGTAAATGCCTCAATAATGTCCATACATCGCGTGAATTTTTTGATCATGTACTTGTATTTCGTAGAATGAGTTATTCACTGTATTACGTCCTACCTTCCCTCCCCCACCTTCGACCTTAGAATGAAAGCAATATTCCACACATACTTTCACAGGACGCATAATAGCCCGGGACAAAGAACGACACTTGAAACCTGTAATCGAATAAACACCCAATGTAAACATGTTACACAGGCCGTCTGTTTATGGCCGGACTACCAGCGTTGTACTGGCTACTGAGGGAGAATGCACACTTCGTACCAAGGACATTCCAATGTCCTTGCTCCGTACTACAGAAATTCTGGAACGGACAGTCTTTCCTTTCGGAACATGAAGTGAAAATTATAACATTACAAGCCACTCCAGACTTCAACGTCTTTTGTGGCGTTTTTAGGTCCCCAGCGACGAGCACAGACCACGTAGACTGGCACATTTCCCACACGAATATGGATGTAAGGATTGTCGTTAAAAGACCTTGGTTTACTGACAGGCTATTTATACCTGACGTGATAATGTGTTTCTTTCCCTTTACTCAACAGATCAAACATTGTATTAGCTCAATACAAAAGCCGTAATCCTTTGAGAACCTTACAACCAGCTCCTCTACGTGTCCCGAATGGCTTATCATCCCACCACTTCATGTTGATATCCATCGCCAAATGTCATTAAGCTTTCTTTACTGTGTTACGGCGGCACTTTTATGAAAGCTGTCCCGTGAGCACGAACCTTCTATAAAAGCTGAACTGTGAGCACGAATGAAAGATAGATCCGTCAGGTTACGTCAGATCCAGCTCAAGCTTTTTTAACCCAATCGTGGTGACGGCTTGGGTCATTTGTCACCATATAAATCAGCGCTTAGCACAGCGAACCTCAGCCAATAGTTTTGTGGGCCACATTGTTTAAGTAATAACCGGGCAGCTAACCTGGGCCCGCCGCGCCGAGAGTCGCCATAGTTACAAGAGCTCCTTTGTCCAGCTATAAAGCAAGGCTGGTTAGAAACCGTGTTCTCGGGTTGTCGTCCGGTTGATTTGCTGTGTAAAGCACGGCTTGAGTGACGGGTGTGTGTTTCAGGGTAGTTTATGGTGCCGGTGGAGTGGGCGGCCGCCAACGGAAAACCATCCTTACCGCTGCTACCTGGATACGACGTGTTGTTTCTAACCACGACGCAGTCCACAGAGCGCTATCTGCCGCGGAGCAATGGAAGGATCGGAGAGAGGCATTTAGCGGGAGAAAACGTGTTTCTGTAGAACAGCTGTGGATATCACATGAACAGGTGGTTGTTACGGCATCAAACGGAGACGCAAAGGTCAGCCCTGTACACTAGACCTTCACGTTAGCCGGTGAGTGTGCATGTGAAATGGACGACTGACGTTGGCGCAGGGGATAAATGCGGATCATAAGGAAACTGGTCTGGTATATGGAATGATATCGGGATCTCACTACAACAGCACACCTGCACTATCAGCCTTGTCGGATTAAGGACTTACACGCACGTACGTCAGAGAGGCAGCGTCTATTCACGTGTTGTGAGGCGTAGTTCAATAAGACCGGTGGTTACAAACTTTAAACGACGAGGACGAATTGGTCCCTGAGTACCCAAATCGGCAACGCAGCTAGCTAAAGGACTTGACGTCAAGGTCCATGGGGGTAAGATCATTTACTAGTGTCAGACCTTGAACTACATTTAGGCTGCCGCTCGTGCAGCAAGAGTACTGTAGGAAGTCTTACACCCTGAGTGACTTCCAGGCGAGCGTATTCACGACAAGGATATCGTCTCCCAGCGACGGGAGGGAAACTTTGCCTGGCTGACTGTAACGGACTCGGGATTTTGAGGTTTAAACCAACTTAGGCGTAAATTGGATCACCTGAGCGAGTTTTATTACATAGCTTATCGTGTCCACAAAGCGGTACCAAGAGTGGAGTACAGGGCACAAAGGACCACACAACGGGTACTTGTCATCATTTGTGCTGTCAAACAATTACGAGATTTTTCCCTATCTTGGTGACACGGGAATGCTTTCTTCCGTTGCTATGACGACAGCACTAACTACATCTCGGTAACGTTTATTAAATAGTTTCCGATACAAAAGTCGACACTTCTGAACACGGCAGACATTTATCCCAGGAGGAGCGAGGAACATACTTCTTGAAAGTTAATAAGAGAACTGCACCAGTCCTTCATGGTGTTGCACGCCGGCGCTGACGCAGGTCTGGCCGTGCAGAAACGTCCGAACGTCCGTTCGTCTGTCAGGGACTCGGTGGTCGACCTCATCGCCCGCGGGGTCTGCAATCGCACCCACCACAGCGTCAAACACGGCCGTAGCCGCTCCGAGGACAGGCCACGGGACAGGCTGCCGTCCTTCCGTCCCACCATGAAGGGTTTAGAACAAAGCCTGACCACCATGTCTCTACCCCGGCGTGCTCCCTCTACACTTCACCAGCTCTCCCCCTCAACTCTCCTCCTGGGCAGCTCCACCCTCCCCATGCCGGCCATGGCCAACCTGTGGACTCGGGAAGAGAGCAGTCAGAAACTGCCCATCATTCATGAGAGACTAAGAACTCCTTCTAGGAACCAAAGGTCTCGTTCCATACCTATGCTGCCCCCGCCCACTAAGGAACAGAGCACTCCAAGGTAACACTGACTCCGTTATGTTCCGTTATGTACGCTGAGATACAAATTGACGCATAAATCTAGTTTGCATTACTTTATATGTGGAATCCGAATGTGTCCTTTCGGTGAAGGTTTTCTGAAGTTCATGCTAAAACGACACATTGCTTTGGTAGAAGATGTTGTTGTGTCACTTGATTCACGTGATATTTTAAACTTGCACATAACAGAGGCATATGATATGCTCTAATTTTATCCCTGACAGAGGATTGGGGTAATATTTCAGCTTCACTTAGGAAGCATTGGTCTCTAGGTTGCTCTCCAGAGAAAGAACTCTAATAATTAATCTCCACCTGATGAAATGTTCTAATGCAATGGAACTACATTACATATCGATTGATTTACAGACGGTCCTATAGTGAGGACCACGGGAGGATGATTCCCATCAAGCCCAGCACGGCAGAAATCATGTTTCCGGAGAAGATGTCGGACGCTCTGACGCCGGATTCCGGAAGAAAATCTACCATCTTGAAGCCGGGAGGTCAGGCCCAGAGACCAGTGACGACAAACGTGGACAAGTCTGCGGAGAAGAGGGTGCACTTCCAGATCACTCTACCCAGAGAAAAAGAGGTGAATGTTCTTAGCTATAGTTAGGCATTTCATTGTACAGAAATTCCATCATGGTATCAGCTAGCATTTTGATATCAATTCCTGTCTGACAATAGGCTGTAAAACTTATTTTGACTGTTACGAAAGACCGTGACAATGTATCTGTCCGAAATATCCAGATTCCTATTAGTTTCTATGTTTATGTTTTACACCGGTGAACGTTAAAGTACCATATAACGAAATTACGATTTCAGCATCAGATTGGGCTGCCACTGCCTTTCGTGGCCAACAGCTGAATAGTTATCTCACATTATCATTATTATTCACATTTATCTCCAGGTGACATTCAGAGTGCCGACGCGAAAAGGCAGCGGTTCCTCGCGGGCCGTGAGCGAAGTCAGTCCCGAGAACAACTCCACAGTCACGCCGGTCTTCAAGGTCATGGTTACCACGAAGAACAACGTCGAAGCAAAGCCGCCCACAGCGGACAACAACGAAAAGGCTAAAATCGTAGCTTCGCCAGCCGAGGCCCTGTGCCGTACTTTCATAGACACTCACAAACTCGGTGCTCCGTCTACACCTAAGCTAAGGACCTCTTCTCTAACCGTGGATCATTTCAGTGCCATAGACTCCTACGCGGGGCATGTCAACTACTGCGACCACAAGAAGACAGACCAAATTGTGAAATGGCTTGAGGACGTTAACGAGCAACAGAACATAGACGCCAAAGTCAGAAGAAGTTTGTCATCCACTTCATCCGAGAAGATCAGTGTATGATGGTTGATCCTAGATTATGAAGGGATCTCTCTACCTCTTGAATGTGTGCACAGCTTAGAGTAAAACTGTTCATCACAAGGTCGCTGTGACAGACCAAAAAGGGTTGTTAACTTAACTTAAGGCCGTACAGACGACAAAGATGTTAAGAATCTGAACAGACAATATTTTCAAACACATCAAATCCCTAGTACTGGGCATGGTCTGTCCCAAATGTTGTGTATCGGGGGGTGTCACAAATGTTCTCATTTGAGTCCATGCTACTTTTTTCATTCAGTTGAAAGGGACAAAAACAACCGTTGTGAGACAATAATTTACAACCAGTGGTTAGGCGTAGAACAAAACATTAAGCGAGTTGACAATGCCAACCTTAATTGACGGAGGAAGTCATTGAAAGGTTTGATAGATAAAGCTCGATTACAAATGAGTATGTCCTGTTGTACCCATTACGACACTACTGCTACAGGACTCTGCTTAACAATATTTGTTTGAGATAAGCGGTGTTATTAGGTTAATCCCTCATTGATAATACCTGCCATTGGTCCAAATTAATGCGACACATTTGTTTTCGCCACAAGCTCTTGTACAGCTGCTGATCAGGATTGGGATATCTTCGTTGCATTTGTGCTTAAATGTCTACTTATTTTAGAGCTGTGTCAATACTCCACATTGATTCAACATTAAGCTTTATGTTGAAAGACAGTTTTGTTATGTTGGATCATGGTTTCATTTCTCAGATAACGTTTTATGATTACGTTATTTATGATTTGTTTGGATTCATTTTCATTTTGTACATTTCGTTTTTGTATGAATTCTGTCTCGCGGAACTTCAGAACTTTATGCTGTTATGGGTCATATCGGTCTAGCTAGTACGGTCATTCGTTTCAAAGTTCGCTTTTAAACGTCGCTATCAAAGAGACAAATTGGAAAATGATCGTGTCGGCATGGAAGCAAATTGCGGTTGTCAACAGTCGTGTCACCTCTGGTGTTACCTTAATTATGCTGCTTTTAAAAACAACTGTTCGAAGTTTCACAACAATTGCAATCAACCGTGCTTAGTGTGCAAATAAACAATATTTCACTGGCAATTAAATGGGTGCAGTGTTTCGTAAATAATACTTCTTACCAATCAAAACAAAAATATTCTATTTCTAGACGGGTATGTTGTTGAAGTCAGATCTGGACGTAGATACGCCGCCATGTCAGCTGGGACCTTATGAAAATCTCCGAAGACACATTGAACATGGCGTTTGTGTAGAGTGTGTTCTCGTAACGTTCTGTGTAATACTACTTTTAGATGCATGTTTCCATGGATGGGAAAACAGGTGCTTTTATCCAGTTGTATAGTATGTTCTGGCTGAATGAATCAGCAAGAGTTGTTCATTGAGTTCAGTTTGAATAGAGCACTGCAAGGGTTGGATATACAAAGTAACAATGCGGGCAGGAGCGGGGTTTAGGTAAGGTTTGGTTTCCCGAAGGCCGGGTGGTATTATGTTCTGTTTGCCCTGGTGAAAGGGTCGCGGTGTCACGTTTAAGGTTCTTTCTCTCTCCGTTTTCAAGGTACATGCCGGAACGTATTCAAACCACTTCTAAAGACCGCGAGAAAGCTCAGTGACTCGCGTTTCAAAAACGGTAAATCATGGCACTTCTATTCTGATTGGCAGTCATTGAAGAGTAGTTGCCCCAGAACGGTCAATGCCCGTTGCGTAGAAACCAAGTTTTCTCGGTCGTCTGACGTTGCACCTGCAGGCGAACGCTGATGACCTTGACAATTAAGATTTTAGGCACCATCGGGATTATTTTCTTCTTGTGAAGACAGCAAAGAAATACAGAACTGTTAATACTGTACAAGAAAGTCTCGATTCCTAGTTTATCTCATGCAAGATAATCATCAATCTTGAACAATGCCTTAAACAAACTTGACATTTCCTGTTGCTTTAGTCAAATAAGGTCAACCGTTGCGGAGACAAACTTGTGGTTTGGGCTGCAAATATTTGCACAAATACTGCCTTCTCGTAATTATTTTAATACATCTGTAGGATCAGTTAACGTGTAATTCCGAGAATGATTTGGGCAGAAATCGTACCATTAAAAATACATACTAGTCTCAGCCACATTCGCCTGCGCTCTGACAAAGAGTAAGCGAGGAGGCAAATATAAAAGAAACTTTTATTCCTGACACAACTGTTGCACTTTGGTCTTAATTAAGCTCATTGGGATAGTCGTAGCGGGAGGTGTCTACGTGCGGCCGAGCAGTATCGTGTTTCTTCTTCAAGGAGGTGTTTCTCTAAGGTTTAACCTGAGGTTACGTGTCTGTAAATTTGCAGAGTAAGACAATAAGCATGGCAGTCACGTGACGAGGTTAGCGCACGACTCAACACACACTTTGATCGAATGGCTTGCTGTTCGAGCTTATCTCGCCAGACGACGCTTCTACTCTTACATAGTCTTCTCAAGGTTTGGCATGGTTCAACACTTTTGTGGCTTCCTCTAACATCAGTACTTTGGTGCGCCACATTCTGTTCTATCCTCCTTAACGACCCGGGATCCTAAGAATAGAAACCGCGAAGAGTGATGTTGTAAACAGACTTAAAGTTGAACGTCAATAACCTATCAGTAACGTTACATGAAAGCGGGCGGAAGAACATGAGCCCTGCTGTTGTCCTGTGCGCATGACCCACATCCAGGTATTGTGGAGTCTTTTGTTCGCTAAAACACTGAACTTGAAACAGAATAGCGTGTTTTGATCACACGTTATACATGCATACGGGACATTTAAAACTGAAGTGACTGTACATGTAAATGTTGTTATGTTATGTTACCTATAAGCTGGGCCGGGGTATGTTTTGAAGGAAAACATCGAGAAAATTGTTTTGTACAGGTGGGTGGGTTTAAGGAGGGGGGGTACGCGCGTGTGCATGCGTGTGCATGTGCTTCTTCTTTTCTTCACAAAGAAAGAAAATTGGAAAAGGATTGTTTTCAGACACATTTCTTTACGTACCTCATATGTCTATGCTGCAATTCGAGATCGGCTAGCAGCAACTACTTTTCTTGTAAGTCGTAGTAACTTTGCTATCATCGGAAGTGCTAAAACATGCACGACTTCATTTAGAGACACGTGTTTTGACTGGTGCTCCAGCTTCTTCAAGGACGAGGCAGCCACATAACTAGATTAGAGATCCAACGCCGAGACGTACGACTTAGCGGTTAAAGAGATATAATCTTTCCCCACTTCAAGAGGTCTCCACCTGAAGATACAGTATCTTATTCTTTTGTCTGCGGGGTGACAGTGGTTCATTCTTCTGAAATACCAGCCCCGTTACTCAATACTTCTGACCTGCTCGCTATCACGCGCTGGACACGTGAAAAGTTAGTTGGGGACAGGGTATACCAAACATTACATAAGTACAGATTTAAACAACTTAAATAAGATACAATTTGATAAAAGTAAAGGGCATTGCTAGCAGGTATTCATTTATCTAACCTCCTTGGTTGTAGGGAAGGTGTGTTTTGGCCATTTACTTGCTTAGCAGACAAGGGACTGGTAACTAGGGGTAAGAACACCATGGTAAGAACTAGTCACCCGTACAGAGGAGACGTAATGCCGCGTAACGCAGACTATTGACTCCCAGAACCGTGACAAAGGCGCTGTAATCACTGTTTGGTAAACTGGTAGGGAGAGAAGATTATAAAGGAGTGTGTGGGAACGTGAGTCAAATTATCGGCCACTGCCGAAAGGTTTTGTCGTCGCTTGCAGATAAGACAGCTCCTGTGCCACAAGGAAAATAGTGTCAGCAAGTCATCTCTATCTAGGTTGAATAAACAGGAGAAACGAACCAGAATAGGGCGAATGCTTATGTAAACTACAGTCACTACAATCTGTACAAAGGCATTAATTTTGTACTTTCTTTTTCAAATACCAGCTTCATTTTTTTACCTTTAGATGTGAAAACCAGAATTACCAGGAGGTATCAAATTCTTCAATATTACATTCGTACCCCAATCAATATCTGCTTCTGTTTTGTTAACATTTGTGTATAGATTTGCACTTTGTTACATCAGAGAACGTGAGACAGGTGCACCATATTCTGCCATTAGGTTGTGATGGATTTTATTGACACTCTGACAGCTATGCCCGCCTTTATAAACACTTAACATGTGACATAAGCAAGATGAGCCTCCGAGAAAGAGAGAACTTGCGCCGGCAGGAACCTCTCACTAAGAATAGCCGTCCTTAAATCCGTCTTCTTTAGTTGGGAGATTCTATAGATAGAGCGAAAGCGCACATAATCCAGCCGAAACATATGATAAAACCCCAGTTAATATGTGAAAGCGTGGAGACGATTTTAGGTAATTCTGGGATAAACCAGCTAATTCCAAACTCAACGGCTGTCTATCCCATGAAATGGTCTTTAAGACCGTTTGAATATGCCATCCGAGCAAAGAGACGGAAATCCCTGCACTTAGGTCTTTTTTAAGTAAACCTTTGATCACACCTTTTGTGTACGTGAGATGGTCCGTACCGATGTCAACCCAAACAAGTCAAATGAAATATACGAAGGTAACTTTAACACCCGTTTCCAAGGTTTCCAACTAGGCAACAAATAACCAGGGATTTTACATCTTGTGTTAGAAGATAGAGATTCGCCTGAGGAGAAAACTTTACGTGACCGCCTACATGTAGTTGTCACGGTAACGACCCCTGCTGTCACAATGGGAGTTGTCAATGGCGCGTCAAACGACACCTGCCACACGAGACCACAGCGCGAGCCCGACAGACGACAGCGAGGACAGCGTTCTGTAAACAACTCCGTCAGGAACTTCCGAGTTTTCCTCAGATATTCCTCAGAGCAACGCACAAATTCGGCTAAAGGAGAAATATGAGAGAATTGGGTGACCTCTAGGAAGTCAACAAGGGTTGCAACCATGAAACTTCGACGGAGTCTGTCTGGCACGGAGGGAGGAGTACTATTGCAAGGTGGGTGAGCGACACCATGTTCGATATGCTTGTAGGTAAACACAAACGTCCGCCCTTGGTACGAACAAAAGACGAGCGATAGCTCTTTTCTAAACAAGTCTAAGGTGTTCATAAACCCTGAAGTCAGGTTTAGTCTGTTGCTAGAGGTCTTCTTCAGCGGTTTCACCAGCGGAAAGACGACATGAACGGTGTACACAAGGAAATTCCGCTGACACCTGTCACGGCCAAACAAAGGCTCTCGTGTGCCCGGGTCAAGGTGTGAAAACATATCGACAAAGTTTGTCTAAGCAATCGATTATCCTGAATAGGAGAAAGTTGCCACTACAGTCGGCTCAATGTCAAGTGCCACATACCCGCTGTCTTCTTGCATGGTATCTTTGTTATCGAAGGAAAGCTAAGATAAAGCGTACATAAAATTGTCTGCGAGTCTCCAAGGTAAATTATTGATTAAGCTTCGCTCCCTAGAGAACAGTAAAGAAACCAATTTGTCAGTTATCGCTGATAGAAGATGCTCATTTCATCAGGCATACAATCGTTCCATATTCTAAATCATAACAAACCGTGTCTTCCTTGTGAAGTGTTGTTACAACAGGGAACCCATTTCTTCCCATATCTTCCAAACAAGTCTTCGTGAAGCCAACAGTATCGGTATAAAAAGGTACGGTTGAATTATTGATAGTGTGTCGACAGCAACATTTATGTGTTATAGTTTGCTTGTCTTACTTCCGTGGTTGCCAACACAAGACAGATCACCCTTTTACTTGAAGTTGTGTTTAGAGTTATTATTTTCATGAATCACTACGAGTACAAAGTAAACCTACTCGCCCACACATAAAACCAATCACTCTGTCGTACTTAATATGCCTTGACTAATTTACTCTGGAGCACTTGATTCACATGATTGTGAGATATGTATGGAAGGTATACTTGTATACGTGACGTGACAGGTATACGAGGGATTCATATGGGCCAAGTTTTGTTCACAGTACATGTATATTGAGTCGGCTACTAATAGTGCCCCAGGCGTTAGTCACTATGGTAACGGGCTTCTGAAACATACCGCCTATGTTTCTACTGCGCATGTACAAAATACCAAACTTGTTTTTTGTCATCTTTAACTTTTGAAAGATGACAGGGTTTTGTGTTAAAACCTTAAGGATAAACAGCACGCCTGGTCAGTTTTCTTTATACGAAGC